TACTTTTGCAAGCTGCTCAGCGAGGTCGAGGAGGAAGTCCAGAAGGCGCTCAAGGCTGCGCGAGCCAAACCGGGCCTCGAGTCCAATCTGAACCTTAACGTGGGGCTAGAAGCACCGTCCGTCCTGGGCCTCCCACCAAGAGAGCAAGCCAATGAAGAGGCCAACGAAGCAACAGCGTGCCGCACATCCCCCACGCCAGCGGACAGTACTAACAGCAGTGGCGGCAGCGGCGACCGCAGCAGCAGCAGCAGCAGCAGCAGCTTGTTCAGCGACGACAGTGGCTACAACAGCGCCTCAACCGCATGGTCCCCTTCTACTGCCTCTCAAGCAGCAGCCATCGCTGCCGCGTTCCGCATTCCACTCGAGGGATTGCTCGCACAGCGGATCGTCTGCCAGTCGTGTGGCTATTCGTCCGGCTTGTCCATGAGCCCCTTTTACTCGATCACGGTCAACCCGGACGTTGGCAGCGCCGAGTACTATCTCGAAGAAACATTGGATAACTTCACGGCTGTCGAGAACATCGAGGGCGTGCAGTGCGCCAGCTGCACCCTGCTCAAATTCCAGCGACTGATCAAGACGCTGATTGAACGCTTCGAGAAGAGCGACGCCCAAGGGGCGGCGGAGAAAGTGGAAGGCTCAGGACTGGAAGAAGGGACGACAGCACCGCGTAAGAGCAACCCGATCCCATACGAACGACTGGCGGCTGTCGAGGCGGCTCTAGAAGATGAGGATTTTGAAGAGAAGACGCTCGCGGACAAGTGTAAGATTCCGGACAAGCAGCGTGTGCAATCCACAAAGTCGCGGCAGGTGGGCATCGCCCGCGCCCCGGCCAGCATTGCCTTTCACATCAACCGCTCGCGCTTCGACGAGCGCACCGGCTACACCTTCAAAAATCCAGCGGCGATCCGCTTCCCACTGCGACTCGACCTGGGTCCCTGGTGTCTGGGAAGCGCAGCGTCCGCCGCCTCCCGTCTCAGTATGCTTTCGTCTCTGACCGGCATTGGAAAAGGCCAAGACGCGGAGTCTTCTGAGCCTGGCGATGATGCAGAGCAGTGGCAGCTGCCTGCGCAGCTGCCCATGGTGGCAGGGTCACAGCACAATCCAAGACTCGAAGGCCCGCTCTACGAGCTCCGTGCGGTGATTACACACTACGGCCAACACGAGAACGGCCATTACGTGTGCTACCGGAAGCACCCTGCACGAAAGGAGGATGCGGAACAGCAGCCTCGACAAACCGCAGACGACACTGATAAGGAGGACCAGGAGGATGCAGCAATGACCAATATGACGGACACAGATAACGACGACAGCCGCAGCAGCCTAGCTGATGACGAAGCAACACTGCGTGCGACATCCGAAGATCTGGTAGACGACGATAAGACGATTGTCGACGACGATGCCCCTGACGGTAGCGACAACAACGCCAGCGCCGACACGTACATGGCTGCCTTCGATAAGGACGAAAGGAAAGACGACGGAGAGTGGTGGCGATTGAGCGACCAGAACGTGTACCGCTCCGACGAGGCTACCGTGCTGTCGCAGGGCGGCGTGTTTATGCTGTTTTACGACCGGATCGACGCGCGATCCGTCTTCCACCCAGCCGGCCAGAAGAAGCCGCTGTCAAGCCTTTACAGGATAGACACCGATGTGAACGGCGAAGACACCTTCCATAGCTTCCCGGTCCAGGCTGTAGGCGGCCAAAGGAAACAGAGCAGCCCGCCGGCCGCCGACGATCAATCGACCAACAGCAGTGGCGATCGATCATCGGACGAGGACATGAGCGACGAGTCGACCTCGACAGTGGACTCTTCGCCATCGTCACCATCGACAGAGGGGCCGCTTACGCCAGACGACGTGTCTGCTAAGAAACCGGTTGATGGCGCGAGAGTAAGGCCGGTGATGGCGGCCGAAGCGTGAACGCGGCCGCAGGCGGCGGGCTATGTCACGTTTGTCTGTTTTCTTTTTTATGGAGTATGTTTATGGCAGCAGAATTTTCAGCATTTTGTCTGCACCGCATCAGGGCATCATTATCGTGTCCCCCCAACAAGCGCAGGCGTCTCTGGAGCTCCATCAGGGGTTTGGCACGCCGTTTTTGTAGTATTTTGTTCTTTAGTCTTTTTGTGTGAAGTTGGTGCTTTCACTTTACTTTTATCTGTGTTTCAAATCACATAATACAAATACGAATAGCATCATACCATCAGGCGGGAATATCTCTATGTTCATTATCGTCCAACAGTTGTCTTAAAAACACCTTGTTCCCTTCCGGTCCAATTGTCCCCCAAAACGTGGTTGAAGAAGTGCTTGTCGACGACAAAAAAAAAGTTTGAAAAGAAAAAATTCTGCCGCTGTGGATCGTGACGAACTGACGCGCTTAGCGGGCGACACCCAGCTTTTTAGTGGATACCTCCAGGGCGGTCAGAGCTGTCGCCCCAGCGGTTTCGTCGAAAACTTTGCAGCACGCTCTCGCACGGACCAGGCGCACCAGCAACTATATAATGTCGCCTTGCCCGCCTCTCCTTTCTAAATCTTTCTTTCTTCTTTTTTTTTCCTCATGTCGACAATACTTCAGAGAATCATTTCTATAGTTATTGTCCTCTTCTTGGTTCCTAAAAAGAGCCACAGATCCCAACCGGGTTGATGACTTTTATATCCTCGACTGGCCCAATTTCTTCGCGAAAACGCTTCTTGGGGGTTTAGCCACCCCCATCTTTTGACCCTCGCTCTGCCTGCAAAGGCGGCGGCCCAGGAAGCTCAACAGAGAATGCCGCAGTCTTCGGACGGCGGCCTCTTCTCTGGTTTCCAGGGGCTGTATTCAGAGGGTGGTGATGAGCTATACCCTGGACTGGAGGTCTTGTCTTGCTTTTGCGAGCACTCTGCCAGGGTGGGTGTCGATGGACGTCTGACCGGCCACACTTTTTTTTTTGTTTCTTTTTCATTGTGCTCTTGGGCTTGCCCACGACGCGAGGAAGAAGTGTTTGGTGTTGCCTGCGATTCAAAGTAGTGAGCGATTGTATGGATGGATGGAGACGCTGAATTTGGTTTCGTGAGACGTGATAGTAGAAGAACTCGCTCCATCGTGACTACCGCAGAAGTGAACCGAATGACTCGTGATGTGTCGATCGTTCTTGCCACCGAGCGTGTGGCGGTTTGGTGTGACTCAAGTGAACTCCATACCGCGTAAACCACAGTGACTACGCGAGAAAAGGAAGCTCATTCCCTGTCAACCTACGTCGTCCTCGGTAGGCAGGCACGACCGGCGGCATGAAGTTTGCTTTCGGCTGCGAATCTTGGATGGCCTGCTAGGCAGACAAGGTCACGTGTCGTGCTTTTGTTGTTGTGCAAACGAGCACGGCGCTCACCACTGGACGACCTGCGAAAATTTTTTGCAGGCTCGCACGGACCATGGTGCCCCTGTCCCAGCCTAGCGACCTGGCCAGCACTATTTAAATCCCGCCGGGCACCCGCACCCCCCTCCAGCATAGCTGGATTCTTTTCTTTTCTTTTCCTCCTTTCTTCCCTATCCTAGTGCAAGGGCAGTACGCATTCAGTGAGGATTCGTCCGAGAGTGTGTTTTTGCTGGTTGAAAACTATACCTTGACCACTTCTATTGGGCCTCTGGCCCGGTAGGGAATTTTTGGCAAAAACACGTTTCGTCCTCTCGGGGATGGATTCCTTTCTTTTCATTGCAGCCGTTTCTTGAGGAAGCGACGCGAAGGAGAGCAAATCACAAGTGGTGAAGGAGAAGGCAGTGTGAGGACTGGGGACTGCTGATGACAACTCGACACGGTGGAAGATGCACCACCAATCCCTTTTGCGAATCATAGTCAAGAAGCAAAGGCTGTCGCCTGCCTGACAGGGCGAAGCAGTCGCGACGTGGCAGACGTGACCGACGCGTCGCAGCCCAACTGTAACCGTAACCAGCATCCATCTCACCGCTCTCTGTCGATCTGCGACAGCCTGGCATTTGGGGTCGCCGCAGTCTTCTTCGGATAACAAGCAATGGGCGGCTCTCCATCCACAGGCTGCGTTTCGACTGAAGCAGTGCTGCTTGGGCTCGGCGGCCTCGGTCTTTGTTTACTCTGGCCTTTCATGAACATCGTGGCGCTCGCAAACGACCACTGCACTACACGCGTAGAAATAACAAAACTTTACGGGTCGTCGTCTGGTAAAACATACACACTTCTCTCTACAATGCAATTCATGTCATAGACGCACTCCAGGACTGTGTCAACTGACTGCTCACCATTTATCGCAATCGATTTGCCAACCTAGTCGTGCGCTATCGTGATGCGAGATCACGTGCAACATCAACGCCCTCTGCAATGCATAGGAATTGCTCCGTATCTTACAGACTGCCACCGTTTCATGCACATGTCTCGAGGCACCGCTATTGCAATGCTCGTTACTGTCGCACTTGACGGCTTGTCCTGCACGGTTTCGTCCCAAAATACCGACGCTGTCGTGAGTGCCAGGCACATGTGCCATTATGCGTCCCAGCTTCCCCAGTCGCTCCTTCATTGCCTCCGCTGTGTCACTTCGGAAGGCGCCAACGGCAGGCCTCACCAACAAAGTAGCGAATCATGCAATACGACGTACGTCTACATTCTTCCATGGATAGAGCAGCAAGGCCTCGTTTAGCTGGCCTCGCACGGCGGCGGGAACCATAAAGCCTTCTGAATCGCAGCTGTCCCAAAGTCACTAAATGCGTTAAATCATTGCTGCGACCAAGTAGTACCCGTATCGCTCTGCTTTACAGTGCCACGGGAGGAGTGAGACCGCAGCCTGTAGTGCTGTTTGTTCCTTCCTCAACACACCTGCATCGTGCCTGCTTTCTCCGATTGGCTGCGCTGCGTTGACGGAGTATCGCTACCGTGCTCGCACGGTATTCGCACAGGTCAGGGTACTCCAGTTGTCCACACAACACACGTGCCACTGAAGGTTTCTCTGGCCGTATGGCCAACCCAGCGGCACCACACCCACTCTGCACCAGACACGCCCTGATGCCCTCACGCCCATCCCCCTCCCTCCGTTCTCTTTCCAGCGCTGTCGCCTCGCTCTTTCTCTGTCTCGGCTCCCTGTCTGCCCTGTGTGTCTGTTCATACACCCACGCTCACCCCCTCCCCCTTCCCTTCAGTACGCTCCTCCCCATTTTGCGCCCCGTCTCGCGCTCAGTCCACCGTCCACCACCACCTGCCGCCCGCCTTTCTGCTCTTTTCCCCTGCCAGACAACCCGTCAGGAAGGGCGAAACTTAATCATCACTGACTTCATTTCCCCCTGCCAACTTTTTCCTCTCTCTTCTCCCTCCGACATCTTCAGCCCCGATTTCCTATCGGCCACCGCAGACAACGAGCTCACGCCTTTTCGACATCCCTTTTTGCTCGATCCGTTGTCCCTGCCGACACCGACCCGACGACTCCGATCGCCTGCTGTTTTCTCGCATCGCTTTTGTTGTGTCGCCACACAGTCTCTCTCCGACGACCATTTCTCACCCTCAGTCCCTCACTCCTTCACTCCCTCACGATCACGACTTTTACGACCTCCAGGCAATCGAAGACAAAGAGCGACCAGGCCACATTGTCCGACTCTCTATCGACTCTGCTTTTTGGTTTGCCATCTCTGCCTTGTCTACATACGGCTGCGATACACCGAATTCTTGCGACCTTTTGTATTTCATTCGGCATCGGCTTGCCCTCGACTCCCAGCAACGGACATCGCATCACCGTCGCTCCATCCGCCGCCTGCTTCTGCCTCTCGCGACCCATCCATCGAATCGCGTGCTCTCTCTTTTTCTCGTTTTGATCGCCGTTGGATTCTGAGGCCGCCCCGGTGCCTCCCAACCGCTCCCTCTGGCGCTGTTCTGGTAGCCGGCCGTCCGCCTCTCCGGCGTGGCGATTGCGTATCTGTTCGCTCGCATCACTCCATCGACCCAACGTCTTCGTCGGGCCTCATCGCCGTATCGCTTTGTGGCTTTGTCGCTCTCGAGTCTTTGAGTCGTTGTGTGTTTGTTTTTGGTGGCAACTCGTCCTTTTATTCTGGTCGTTTCGCCCTGCCGTTTCGTTTTCCTTTGTTCGTGATTGATTGCGGCTGTGTCGCGTTTCGTTCTCGTGCTCGCCCATCACCACCCGACCCAGGCTCAACAAAAACCTTCACAGCCATGTCCTTCCATCCCCAGACCCCGCAGAGTCCCTCCCAGTTCTCCCCGATCACCTCCGACCCGCTGTCCGGAACATCAAACGCGTCGGTCGGGACAACTACAAACTCCATCAACACCAACGTACACGGTGGCTCTTTCTCGTCCACCTCAGCGTCGGCCGCCACACCATCTACACTGCCGACGCCTGCACACAGTGTGAACGGCTCCGGCTCCGGCTTTGGCTCCGGCTTTGGTCCTGCTGACGCGGTTCACGGCATGAGCCCCGGCGGCGCCGACTCCCCGTACAAGCGAAAACGACCACTCGACGACGCAGGAGACCTCGGCCACGGGTCCAAAAAGGTCCACATGGAGGGCCAGCAGCGACTGGACTTTGAGGCCCTGCACCAAGATGTCGGAGAGAAGTATCTTGTTTGCAATAAGCGTAAGACTTTTCCTTGTCCATTCCCCATTCCCACCATTCCCACCATCCCACCATCCCACAATGTCCACCATGCCCGTACACCCCGTCCTGTCCTTGGCAAGCACGCATCCCTCTTGGTATGCCTTTACAACATTCAAAGAAAGACCTGTGTTAACGCTGAGCTCTCTTTGTTTCTGCCTCTCGATATACAGCTCATCGACCATCGTTCCCTCCATTGTCGGAAGACCTCTTTGAAATGTTCAACCTGACGAGCATCGCCGCCGAGGTCGCACGAACGCTACCCAACGGTGAGAAGAACGCGATGCGCAAGACATACAAGGGCTACATGAAGAAGTTGGGCGTGTCTGGCCACTTTGAGCCCTTGAAACGGGACGAGGGCGACGAGAGCGATTTCATGCGTCTGATCAGCGAGGCCGACGACTCTTGGCAAGCGCGACAGGTCAAGACAAAGGACATCCACTACGGTTTGCTCGACGACGTCGAGGCCGATTTGCGGCAAGCAATGACCATGAACAAGGGACCCATTCCCAAGGCCATCTGGGACAGCTCCGTGCTGGGCGACCTCGCGCCGGAGAAGCTTGTGTCCATTGGCGCACGGCCGTCGTCCGTCCGCGGCACAGCGCCCAACACACCGCTTCACCCGGCTGTTGCACGGTCAAAGGTACAGCCGCCGCTTTCCGCGGCCACCGGCGGTGCGGGCAGTACGGGCAGCCTGGACACATCACGGCCGCGTCGCGTGAACAAGAAGCGGAGCTACGGCGAGAACAGCTTCGAGGGCTATGGAGAGGGCTTCCCTGACGATGACGGCGGTGACGGCGGCTATTCCACGGGCGACGGCGACGGCCCGAGCCACAAGCGGAGAAAAAAGGTAAGACACTTTGTTTCTTGCCTGTTGGCTACCGGTGCATCCGTGCCTCCAGTGGCGGCCATCATATGAACGTTTTGGCTGACTTTATATTCAGAACGGCACGCCGACTGCCCAGTACAACTCGGCACCTGTGCGGCAGCAGAGCTATGGGCCTGGCATGGTCGGTGCCTAAGTAGCCAAACTCAAGTACCTGAGATATGGCTTTCTGTTTTCAGATTGGAGGCCGGCGCCCGTACACGCCGCTGGCGCAAGGGAAGTAGGAAGTCGCCGGCGCCGCCCAGCACCTACCGAACACTTTCCGACCCGATCCAGACAGGCCCTCTCCACATGCAGAGACAAGCAATGCAAAAACATGTGCTGTGCCGTGGTCCAATCGGGGTGTTGTTACAACGCGGCCCTAACAGGCACCATACAGGCATGTCTTGGCTGGCAGTTACATTAAGGGTCTTGTCCGTGTACAATCCACCTCCAGATACAGCGCTATGACCAGCCGCGCGACTGTGGCAGGTTGCTCTACCTCCGCTTCGCGGTGCCGCACCATCCGAACGCCTGTCTACGGACAAGACATACCTTGGTCGTCCTTTCTTGTCCAGTCTCTGTCAGTCACGCACCGACACCGTCCGAGGGTTTCCTCCGTTGCCCATTTGCTTCAAATTTTTCTGTTCTCTTTAATCATTTTCTTGTTTTGGATTTTTCACAGCATGGCGTTGGGGCAAAAAAACTACTCATACCTACCCTACATTACATTTGCACTTTTACTTTTTCATTTTCAATCCGGTTTCGTTTTGGCTCACTGTCTCGTTCTTGACGCGGGGGCTTTCGCGCTTTTTTATCCCTACTGTGCTTTATTGTTTACCAGTCATTGATTATCACAGTGGGCCGTCTCTTTGTCTCCTTCGTCTCGACCAGGCTACCGGGGAGAGGAGGGATTGGGACAAGATCTACGAATGGGTCTGGCTCACGAGTATTATATCTTTTTGTTTTTCGTTTTACGCGTGAATGGTGCGGTGGGAACCCATGGGGGCAAAAACACACAAAGGAAAAAACACGAGCATCCAGCCTTGGACAAGCAAGACACAACGGTGGCTCAACAGAGGCGCAGTGTGATGTGTTTCGGTTCTTTTTTTGGGTGGATGGGGCTGGGTGGTTGCTTTCCCTCGACGACGAGGAATATGAGATCCAAGCCACAGGCTTTATCAATCGAAAGGGGAAATGGAGATTCTGTTTTGTTTCTGCCTGTTGTCTTTGTTGTCTCGCCGTGGCATCGTTTATTGTGCTGTTTTTACGGTGCACTGCTTGGTGGCCAGAAACCCTTTGGTTGTCTATTTATGGTTCCTCGTTCTCCTGTTCTCCCTTTTTTTGCTCTACTTCACTTGACGACGGGCTGACGCTCCGTCTCAGTGCTGTTCTGGTTCGCTTTTTACAACGGTTCAACAATTGTTTCCTGCTCTATACAGAGAGGCAAGGCGAGATATGAATGACATAAAAGGTTTCAAACCATGCATTATTGCAAGGTGTCTCCTTACTGTGACAGGTGACAGAATGATCATGGGTAGAACGATGTAGCTTGTGCGATTGGATGTTTACCAGGCGGTTGCTGCCTCCAACGTAAAGTGGCGTAGACTATCACATCGACTTGATGATGCAGGTCACGGTGTATATCCCTCGTAAAATGTTGCATAGATGCTGCATATGTGTTGGTGGTATTGTCTACGATTTTGACGTAGTAATAAAATACGATGCACCCCCTTTTTTTGCAAACACAAAAGACGGCACGAAAAAAAAGATACGACGGTAAGGGGAAAAAAAATGAAGTATAAAAAATAAAAATAAAAATGAAAATAAAACCTAACGACAAAGGCAAAAAGACAATAGGAATAAATATATAATATACACCAGAAGAAGTCCCAGCCAGTATCACGAAGTGACAATGGATACGATATCTCAAGACGCGTTGCTCTCGACCGATGAACGAAACAGACGTTAAATTCGCGAGATGTACCACTGTTCGTTGTAGAGTACAGACAAGGATGCCTGGTTGCACAAAACAGCATGTCCCCATTGGCCCATTGAAAACACCCATTTCAACACCCACAGTTCATGATACTTTTATTGTAAGATGCGGTTGAATGACAAGATGCTGTTGATTGATGTTTTTGTCTCTTCTTTTCAGAGGGCGATGATGGTCTGGATTATTGCCGATCCGGGAGGGTCCTATCCAGCAATCGGGGCCATGAATGTCGATCTCCTATTCCCAGAACAGTAAAGAGCAGTCGAAACATCGTAATCCAAAAATAACAGACGGTCGATCAGCACCGAGATAGTCTCACTCGGCAGGATGAGCAACCAAAAAAAAAAAAAGTTCTGGTTGCCCTGCCGTGGCCTTATGTAATGCTTGTTCGATGTGTGAAGTTGTTCTCGCTTCTGGCAATATCAAAAATTTAAATATTAATAGCACGAAACGCATGACGGCGTATTGCGATGACGAGTCCTATTTACTCCGTAAGGTGGGTATCAATACTCAAGATACTCGCAAAAACCCCCAAATGTTCCTTGCTAGTTCGCGTCTGAAACTGGCCACCTCCCGAACCTCATACAACGGTCCTTTTGTATAGAGGGCAACGATGGGAGCACTTTGCACGAAAAACTCTGATGACGGGGTCCAGGGTACAGACACTGCCCTGGCTGCATTTCAAGCCGAAGCGAAAGGTGCAGACGGTTGATGTGCAGAGAGCGACGTGGCGGACAGAGAGGCAGACACGCCATTTCGGCCAGAATCGAGTGCAGTTAGGGACGTTGCGACAAAATGTAACAATTAGAGAAGACCTTTGCTATGTCATCAGAACACAGCTCCGAATAATTCAATGCGGATACGAATCGGGCGAATTCTCGCCAAGACGGCCATTCTCAGGGCGATTATGTCCTCGTATCGAACGCGCGTTCCTCTTGGTTTTTGATACGGCCTGTCTCCTAGCAAATGGCATTCCTTAAAGGTTTCCACCGGGAATAGGACAGCCATGCGGCAAAGAGGGACAGAAAGGGACAAAACCAACGCGAGCATTATCAAGACGCAACCACACAAACGGGCCACGGCGGCCTGAGCCGGACAATTTACTGTGTAGAGACCCTGCAGCGAGAAGCGGACAACCATCGGTTCTGCTTTGCCTGAATGCAGACGAGGACGGGGGACAGGGAAGAATGACGCAGGATCCAAACCGAGTTAAGTGCAAACAGGCTATAAAAATCAAAATATGACATGGGAACAATAAAAGTAATATATTTTCATTTCGGACCACCCGCGCCAGCAAGCAGAAAAACCGCGAGCGCTTTTGCACCCGTTCCGGTTACCCTTTGCAGTTTCGTTTTTTGTTTGTCTGGCCGTTGGCCGTTTTCGGGTTGTTGCCAGTCTCTCGTCTTCCCGTCTCTCGTCCCTCGTGGCAAATGGTCGTGCAGCATTTCCCGTTCTACCGCATGCGTGACTGACAGCAGAACACTCCTATTTTTGTCCTCTTGTTCTCCCTGTTCATGCCTCGTCGGTCTCGCTGTCTGTCGTCCAACCAGCTGGATCAGCTTGCGAGCCCAGCTCCGTCATGGTCCTGCCCCCATCCCTCATCTCATCTTATCTACCAACCCACCCAACGTCGCACCAGAACAAACAGAGTAAAGGCAAAGACCTTAGATACGTCGTACGCCGTAAGGACACTGGCTGGGCACACTCCATCTCGCTTGATCGTGTGGCGTTGTCCAGGACGCACTGCCCTGGTGGAGAGCAATGATTGCAGGTAATTTGCGTCTTCGCACCAAGTCTGTTTGCATCTGCATGGCGCACAAAGGGTCCCTATTTTGGTCGGAAATGACTGGGGCATCGGAGCGTATGTCGTACCCATCGGTTGTACATGTGCTCGCATTGTCGTGGGCCACCGCTGATATGTACCGTTGTCCGTCGCATCTTTCTTTTTGGTTTTTTGTCGTAATAGCGCCATGCGCCATGCCTCACTGCGTGCATTTAGTGCGCCAGGCGACGTCCAGGCCATTCGCACTTGCAGGTTTTGCGTGCCAATCGCTCCTGCCCCGCCCAATATGGGTATTCTTTGCTTTCCCACGAGCCGGCATTCTGTACCTTCTTGGCGAGCATTCCTTCATTCCTTCCCGTCTTCGCGTTCCTTTGGTCCTTCGTCGCGACAACAGATCAGACGGTCCCGAAGAAACAAGAGAGCAGCCTCGTGCTTTTCCTTTGTGTTTTCTCATCTGCAGCACGTAAGATACTGTTTCCTTCCTGCTGTTCCTCCCCCCTGGCATCCATCCCATATTGGCAAGAACCTCCCCACCACGCTAGCCCATTCTTACTGTGGCCCAATACGACACCAGACCCTGTCCTCCCAAGCATCAAATTTCCTTTTGGTGCCCCCGGTCCTGGTGACCTCGTTCGCTCCTACTATGTTTCCTCTTCTTTCTTCTCGATTGAACCACCTTTGGACCAGAGACCCACTCATAGAGTCCCGTAATATTAATAAAAATAAACCTTGGCTGGCAGGGTCTCTATGCTTGGTTTTCCAGAACAGTGCAGAATGGTGCAGAAAGTGCAGTATGATGTGGTATTTTTTCGAGAATTGAAAGTATTTTGAAATGTTTTCAGGCACTTAACTGGCTCTGAGAAACGCGAGCTCGTTCCTGAAGGAAACCCACTGTGTTTTGTTTCCCTGAGCACCTTTCTACGTTTGCCCGTTTGCACCTTCCTGCACATCCAGTCACCCACCCACACCACTCTCTTTCGTGCATGCCTCTGCCTGTGCCTGTGTGCCTTCGTCCTTCTGCCGCGGCTGGCATCCCATTCGCTGCTTCCCCTTTTGCTGGGTTGTCGTTTCCTCTTTTCCCTTTTCGTCCTGATTTTCGTTTCCTCGATCTTTGTTTCCCTTCATCTCACACGCTCTCTCTTTATCTCTCTCTCTCTCGTGTTTTCTCTCCCTCCTCCTCCCCTCCCGTCGCCTCACCCTCCAGCCTCACGACACTCACCCCCTATGAGCGAGATCCAGCGGCATCTCCTCTGACGATGAGGAGCTGGAGAGGGACGCCGACGAACGAAGACGACAACATAACCGAATAGTACGAGCGCGACGATCCTTCACATCTAGGCAAACCAACATTCGCGACAACTCCCAGTCGAGCACTGGCCACGACAGCGACGACATCATCCTTCGCAAGTCGACGACAAGCAACGACCATGAGAATGGACTGTGCCGTCCGAACCACCATCGCCTTCATCTCCTTCTCTGAATAATACGCTTGCCGCTCGAGGCTCTTCCACGTTCTCTTTTTTCTGCCGTCTTTTCTGGCATCCACGCTCTTTTTGGATTTTGATTATTGAATATTCGATTCAGAATTTCCGAGGCCTCTGCGAGGATTCAATTAACCTTTCACACCTCTCTGGCATTGGCAACGGACTCGACGCTCCATTTCAAATACAATCTTCGAAACGTACAAACAAAACACATCTTGACACCTCCCAATCGTGGGAAACCATCTACGCTCTTTTATTTTCTTTTATTTTCTTGGAAACCCCGGAACGGCCAACCCAACATACACTCATTTTACAACTCTTATACACATACGGCTTTCGTCCGTTTTTCATTCGTTCAGTCTTACGGCACACTTTTGTATTTCCTTATCGCACCTCTTCTCAACCGCGACATCGTATCTGTTGTCGTATTTTCTTCTTCGTCGCCATTTTGCAACACGCTATACATCAAAATACGGACGCTAGGCCCTCATCTTGCCTGCTCCGCCCCCTTACGATGACGCCCCACGCCCGCAAATTCTCGCTCTCTCAGGCGTCATCCCGTAAAGCCTCGACTGTCGCCGCCGCCGCTTCCTCCCTGGCACCAGACACCGGAGCATCTTCCCCTTCAACTGGTGCTGCTGACCACGAGACGCACCAACAGCAGCACCACCAGCACCACCACCGCCGGCATGACCACAACGAGTTCCACGAGCACAACCATCCCCAGACCCACCGCCACAGCCACGATCTGCCTTCGTCACGAGGCAAGAAGGGGCAGCACCGGGGAAACGACCATGATGGTGGCGCTCAGGTAGCCGAGGCTGTTGAGCTTCGTCGCAGACAAAAAGCCACTGACGCCGGACCGTCCGTTACCGAAGTTGTCCAGACCATCTCTGTTGTCCAGGTCATTGACGGAAATGGCTCCGTTGTCACTTTGCATACTCTCTACTCACCAACAGTCGCTGGAGCTACCAATACACCCGACGGTGCCGTCCACACGCCCGCGGCAGGTACACCAGCTGCCAAAGGAACAGCAACAGCGACGCAGCCGTCTGCACAATCTGCAGCAGGAAGTGTGGTCCCCCCAGCTGAACCATCAAGCTCCTCGAGCTCGTCAATGTCTTTGTCGCCAACTACTTCCACAAAGACGACAGCGGACACGGGTTCGTCGGATGCCACGCGTTCGTCTGAAACGGCTGCAGCACCCACACAGTCAACTAGTACCGCTTTACCTGCTGCGTCGTCCTCGAGTGACACCACATCCACGCAGACAAGCGCGTCTGCCAACGTGGCTACAAGCGCATCTGGCGCGACTGGTGCAACTGGTACTCCGGCGACGATTGACAGCTCAAGAACCGCCCCAGTTGGGACGGCCTCGACAACGGCAGTGCCTGCATCGGCCAACACCGGCGCTACCGAGCCGTTCACCAACGGCACTACAACTTCCACACCCATCGCCATTCCTTTGACCACGGGCCCTTCGACTACCCTCCTGCCTGCCGCGCACAATAGCACCCACACCCATGCATACACAAACAGCTCTTTGCAGCACACCCTTTTCTCCAACACAACCCGCACGTCAACGTCTTCCACTCGCCTCTTTACTTCGTCTACCCTGTCGAGTTCGCTCATCGTCGTTTCCCGGTCGTCCTCCTCGGCGACAGAAGAAGCCACTGCTACTGACGGTGCTGGTGGCGCAGGCGGCGTCCCTGCAGGCACGACACCTACGGCTGCGTCCTCGTCATCCAACGACGGCAACTCCCCTGGCCCACCCACCAGCGTTCTGGTCGGCAGTGTCATTGGCGGCTTGGCTGGCATTGCATTGCTGCTCGTCGTGGCCCTGTACCTGCTCAAGTGGAAGAAGAGGAGAGACGCCAATGGCCACAAGCTCTTGGGCGACGGCGACGATATGCTTACTTCCATGGCAGCAGGCGGCGCCACCCGCGGAATCATGGCGGGCGGCACAGGTGGTGCTAGCGGTGGTGGTGATGACGGGGGAGGCAGTGGTCCAGCCAGTGGCCCCAGCAGTGGTGGTCCGACCAGCGGTCCCGCCGGAGGTATGTCGGAGAACCGGACGGGCTTTCTGATGCCGTTTGCCGCTGCACTGGCCTCGGGCCAGAAACGGCTGTCTCGCGGCACGACGGGCGGACACACATTTTCGTCTGATGTGAGCAGCAGTACGGGTGGTGGTGCAGGCAGTGCGGCCAGTGGTGGTGATGCCAATCGTGGCTTCTACCGTGTCTCCGGCAGGAAGCTGCCGTCCGTCCTGTATCACGGGGGCGATGGCTACGCTGATCCGCGCGAGAGTTTGATGAGTGTCAACCCGTCATTGTATCGGGACTCGCAGGGCTTCTTTGGCGGTGCTGGTGGACCTGCCACGACGCCCGTGTCTCGGTATGCGGTCGGTTCTCCCATGCGGCCCGAGAGTGGTGTGCCCATTGTCCAGCCTGGTCCTGGCAAGGCGGTTGCGATGCGGGTGCCAATATCACGACACGGTTCGTCCATACACGACGACACTGCCTCGATTCGGAATCTCACACCGCCGCCGGGCATCGACCCCATCGGTCGGTCGCTTGCCTCGCAAGACGACTCCCGAGGCTCTGGATCGCGCTTCACGGAAGATATTTTCTGATAAGTTGAGGGCTTGGCCCACAGCCAGTTCTCGTCTTCTCTCCCGCATATAATGTCTTAAAACCGATTCCTCTTTCGCGCCTTGGTTTTCATTCTCTAACCCCCGCGGCAAATCGAAGACCTACCAACTATCCTCAACATCTACAAAACCTACAATATCTACAGTATAAAGCATGGCTTGGCGTTTGAATTTCCCACTTCTCAATTCTCCATGTTTTTTTTTTATACTCTTGTGGCATAGACTTGCCGGCGCCTTTAAATCACGAGGCCTCCTGTTCAGCATGCCACGCTTTCTCGACACTCGCTCACTCACGCGTTTGCCTTTTTGATATTTTATCCCGTTTTCGTCTTTTTTGATATATCCAAACTGGCCTCCAGCCCTGTTTTCAATTCTTTTCTTATTGTCGGTCGTGTTCTGCTTCTTTGCCTCCCTAGACAACCATAATGACTATAGAGGTACCTTTTTTATACATAGCTCAGCAGTATCTTTTTTTTTTTGTCAAAAAGCCAGCTATTTCAATGAAATCAACAGTTCTTTTGGTTTACTTTTGATTGTCCTCATTCAAATCTTAGAAAGGCGGTCCCCTGCAGACTTAGTGAGGTGCATAGACTCGGGCAAGTTTCCATGAAGGGTTCACATCTCAACATGAGGTCCGCCGATGCCTGGTGCGTTTTAGCTTCTCTTCCTTTCGCCTACCGTAGACGTGTGACGTCGACAAGAACCAAGGAATAATTCGAATGAAAGCAGAGTCAGCCCTGTGGATAGCAAGGGTTGGCCATCTCGTGAATTTCGTCCCACGTGTCGCCCCTCGCATCGACCAAGTGCTGCCCATGCACCCCTGTGTCCTGGCAATTCCAAATGTCGGACAAATTGCAGACAGTACGAAAGACACAAGACAGGGAAGGCAGTGGGAAGAGCAATAGTATGGACAGTCTGTGACGAATGTGGTCATCATGACATTGTTGATAATTTGCTTGTTTTATTTTTGGGTCGCAGGGAGTTGGTAACTCAAATTACGCGTGATCGGCGAGCATTGGTACGTCGTAGCCAGTGATTCATACCATATCCTGCATACCGTCGAGACTTCTTCCACTCACCATTTTTGGAAACAGTTTGCACCCTGGCTGTACCAAGTTCTTCCGAGTCGCTCGCCGCCGGGAGCAGAAGGGGGACGATTGTGAGGTAGGGGAAAGGGTCGCAGTGCGCTGTGGTTGGGTCCTTGCATCGGTTTGTTGTGAGACAGTCCTGAAACATGAAGAAGCAGCAACTCAGAAGAGTAGACTGGGCAAGACTGAAAAAAAAAAATCCAACGCAAAAACACCAAGCCGACACGACAGAACTAAGAAAACATGGAAGAGCAACCCCGATGCAATCTTATGCTCCGCGAGTATTTTGTTGTGTAAGTCTTTTGTTCTTTTTCACAAACGCGGCGTATCCCGATCGCCTCCTGCCCGATCCTCGAAACGTCACTAATTCGCAACATGGCAACGTCCAACAACGCTTGGACGACTGCGGCGTACTCCGTGTCTGCCTTTTCTTTTCGTTTCCTTTTCTCTCTTCATTTTTCGTGCGTCGAGAGGACGAGCCCTGAGACGAGTGGACGTTGCATTTGATTTCTCCCGTCTCCTGTTTGCGGTGAGATGGTGATTGGCGAGAGGATAAAAGACGAGACAAACGAGGAAACACTCGACCGTTTCGTCGTTTTCGTCGCTTTACGACGAAACAAACTGAAACATGGGGCGACAAAAGCACGCACAGCACGACGTCCAGCATATTGGGCCCTGCAGTAGTGAGAGAGAGAGCAAAAACGGAACATCACTTTGTCTTTTAATTCCGTATTTTATAGAAAAAGAACGAAAACGGAAAAGAAACGGCAAGTCCCGCCGTCTAGGAGGGCATCTTTGTACGAATTACGAATGTTCATTTTACTCCATTCGATTCTTCTCCACTCTTTCGCAAGTGATGTTCCCAGTCTCCGTCCAGACCGACCGGCTCTGGCACATCCCGATCAGACGTTAGCCCACCCCAAGGCGCCCAAGACCACCCTTCCACTTTGGCCCAGCCTCCATGTACTTTCACTCTGCAAGTCGTCCTCAGAATGTGTTATGATAGAATTACAAACACGTATGGGCGCATCCCATATAGGAAGCTCTGTCATATGACGAACGACGTCCGTAATTTGATCGTTAATACATACAGAGCGTATTACTTTGGGCTTGCGCCGTACCCAGTGCAGAACTTGCAAAGTACGAATTATGTCGTAAGATACTTGTTTTGCTGTGACGGAGAGTTCCGCCGACCATTGGCCACGGACGGCAAAATACAAACAGTCCTTGTAAGGGTTCTGTCAGTCCACATTCTCAGCTTCGTACCGTTTCTTCCTTCACCCGCCAGCCCTTGGCACTCGGCGCCCCCTGTCTGTGTGGCGCGCCGTTGCATCCCCATTTCCTCCTGTCTCCTTGTTCTCATCTCTGTCCGTTGTTGTATCGACTCTGGACGACATACACGCAACCGAGGCTTTGGTTCATTGTTGGGACTGTCCGCTAGACAGGCCGACAGACTTTGTGCCGGGAATCCGTCTCAACTTTGACAGTCTTAAGTTTGAGGCAGCCCGGTGCAAGGCAAGGGGCTTTGCTGGACAGAGCAGAAACTGGGCGACGAGAGAAGCACGCCATAACGACCAGATGAAGCTTGCGTTGAAGACGATGCGGGCCGATGATAATGTCGGCCGCCGTGTGAACGTCAACTCTGCGACTATGAAATGCGACTACTCACAAGTCGACATTGCATTTTCGTCGACACACACATTTGCGTTCTGCCCTCCGTCCGCCATCTTCAACCCCGTTCCCAAACGCGCGGAATGCTCGGCGTTGCGCTTGCGCCACGATGGAACGGGGAATCGGCAGGTCCTTTCCCTTTTGGTCTTACTCCACTGCTGTCGCGACATGTTCTGGGCCATGCTCTGCGCTACCTGCCGCGCTAACGGCGTGTCTCTTTCCCCATCTCCGAATCGTTCCTTCCCCCAATGGCCCTTTGGTTTGGCCGACGCAGCGTCGCTCCTACCCTCGCTTTCTGATATTGCCCTGCGGGAACTGTGCTTTGGAAACTGCCGCTTGTATTCTATGGGATGCACCAGATGGAAGGTGCTGTGACGCCAGGACGCAGTCTCTTGCCCCGTTAGTGGAGACGGACCAACAAGAGTCAAGACGGAGAAAAAAAGAGGAAGGCGCGAGGGTACGGGGTACGCATTCTGGGTATGGATGGAGTAATACCACAACATCAGTGTCCCCTCTTTTGTAAATCTTTTAAACGGTCCGTGGTAGTAGGCGTCAGGCTTCAGGATTCGTAACGGCACTTGCAAAATGGTAGACGTATCTGACGTGGTGCCCTTCAGACGGTTTGCGTAGCATTAGACTGCCTGCCTGACTCGCCCGAAAACCAGTGCCTCGAACTGCACCCGTGCTAGCGCATTCGGGAAGTGCGCTTTGCACGCTGGCACTGTTCATTCATTGTTCCTGCCGTTTTCACGGTCTTACACTTGCAGCAAGAGGAAAGTGGAGCCATTGTCTGAATGCGTGAGGGGGAGTGACCCGCTAAACCCCCGGCGGACTGGCTGTAACTGGAACCAATCCAAAACTCGACCAGGAAGCGACGACCATCTGTTTCTGCTGTTTGCGTTTCTGTGCCTGCCTCTCAGCACTGGTCTCATCGTTTTGCCAGTCGCTACTGCGACTTTCACCCATTTGCGTTGCACGTTGCACTCTCCCGTTGTAGCCAATGCCTTCCCGCCCTGCTCGTTTCGATTCTCACGAACCTTCCTACACACATCGTCTTCTGCCTCCTTTTCTTCATTTTGTTCCCATTCTCCTTTTTGGTATCTCGCTTCCGCCTATCCCCCATTCCCTCCATCCATAGCGCTCACGTTGTCAATGATGACGTGCTGACACTATCTGACTGCCTTCCGTTCCTCGCTTGCCTCCCCGACCTTTGCCTACGACATACGATATCACCGACACATATCGGCAGATTAAGAGTTCAGATCAAGAGATCAATCCATCGTCTTCAGCTAACGAACGGCCTCGACGACGCGGGCATTTCCGGCCTTCCCCGTACGACCGTCTCTGACCGAAGACGACAGGCGCGTACTCACACTCGCTGATCGATCCGCGCATCCCGCCACGACGGCCGAGCCCTTCTCTGCGACGCTCCCCATTTCCGACCGTGAACTGACCTGGCAACGCGTTGATTGACACCACCGCTCCCTCTCGAAGCCTGAACCGCGGGAGACGAGTCCTTTACCCGTCCCACATGGACCAATCCCACCACATGGGCAGCCCCGACCAGGGCTTCCCGCTGCCGTCTCTGCCGCCCATCTCCGCTCCGCCGCTGCTCAACCGCCAGCCCCAGCTCTTCGGCAACACCTTTGACCGGCTGCCTCCCATCCACATGCCCTCCGACATGGCCGCCGCCCACATGTTTGGCAGCGACCCCAACGCCTACATGGACGACGCCAACGAGGCCAAGCGGCGACGCATTGCCCGCGCCTGTGACATGTGCCGCAAGAAGAAGATCAAGTGCGACGGCAAGATGCCTTCGTGCACCCACTGCGTCAACTACAAGACGAAGTGCATCTTCACCCAAGTGGAAAAGAAGCGCAGTCCGCCGAAAGGGTAAGTGGATCCGGCGGGAGAGGGTGGAATATACGCTGTTGTGCATCTCGACGATTTCGCTAACGTGACCTCTTTCCTCCCCCCCCCTCAGCGCCAAATATATTGAAGGTCTCGAGAACCGCCTCGTCCGCATGGAGAGCCTGCTGCGCCTCTCCGGCCTGCTCGACGAAGACGACGGCGCCACCGATCTCGGCACCCTCGAGAAACGCCTGTCCGAGAAGCTCCGCGAGTCGCACCGCGACTCACAGGCCGCCTCTAATCCGTCATCGCCGTCCCAGACGACATCTGGCAACGAGTCCACGCCGCGCAGCTCCATCACCTCGCCAGAGCCCGGAAAAGAACGTGACTCGAGCGGGAACGCCAACGACAACAACGGTGGCAGCGGTGAGAGGAGCGGCGAGAAAGGGGCCGAGAAGTCCGGCGAGAAGTCCGGCGAGAAAAGCGGTAGCGGCAACCACAGCCACAACAACAACAATAACAACGGCAACAACGGCTTGAGCAGCAGCAGCAGCAACAACAACAGCAACAACAACAACAACAACAACAACAACAACAACACCGGTAACGGCAACAAGAAGTCGTCTTCTAGCGCGTTCGACAAAAAGAACGGCGGCCGCAAAGAAGAAGAAGTCGAAGCCCTGTCCGAGTTGATGTGCTCGCTCGTCACTAACCACGAGGGCGAGACACGCTACATCGGCTCCTCCTCCGGCTTCTCCATCTTCTCGCCCAAGGGCATGCAGTGGATCAACGAGCGCACCGGCGACAACTCCTTCCAGCAGATGATCTCCAATGTCACTATGGACGACAACAAGTGGACCAACTGGAAGCCCGAGATCTTTTCCGACCTCTTCCGACGCCCCGTCTTCCGGCCCCTGCCCCCCAAGCCCGAGGCGCTCTCGCTCCTCAAGGACTTTTTTGAAAACTTCAACTGCATGTTCCCGCTCTTCCACCAGCCCACCTTTATGCACCTGGTCGAGCGCCAGTACTCCAAAGATCCCTACCAAGGCTCAGGCTGGTGGGCGTCGCTGAACGTGGCCTTGGCCATTGCCCACCGCCTGCGCGTCATGAGCAACCTCGTGCCCCAGGAGGAGGACGACAAGGCCTGGGCCTATCTGAAGAACGCCATGGCCGTCTTTTCCGAGCTGGCCATGCGCAACACCGACCTGCTCAGCGTGCAGGCGCTGCTGGGCATGGCCCTTTTCATGCAGGGCACCCCGAACCCCCAGCCCACCTTCTTGCTCATTGCCGCCGCCATCCGCCTGTCGCACAGCATTGGCCTGCACAAGAAGGGCACCGGCTTCAACCTCAACCCCATTGAGATTGAGCAGCGCAAGCGCGTCTTCTGGATCGGCTACATGCTCGACAAGGACCTCTGCCTGCGCTCGGGCCGCCCGCCCGCCCAGGACGACGACGACATGAACGTCGAACTGCCCGACGCCGATCCGGCCGACAACATTGGCAACATCCCCCTGGGCGACGGCAAGGGCAAGATGAACCTGTTCCGTGTCATGTGCGAGTTTGCCCTGATCGAGAGCAAGGTCTACCGGCGCCTGTATTCGACCAAGGCCACCAAGCAGACCGTCGGCGAGCTGCTCAACACCATTGGCGAGCTCGACCAGGAGCTGGAGGACTGGAAGGATAGCATCCCCATTGACTTCCGCCCAGAGCACGAGATTAAGGCGTCTCACACGCCCCTGATACTCCACATTGTCATGCTGCATTTCACCTATTACAACTGCCTCACCACCATCCACCGCATGTGCGTCCACCACGGCTACTGGACGAGCCGTCTGTCCAACTACGCCATCCAGGGTCTCAACGCCAAACCCCTCAACCCTCGCGTCTATTCGTCGGCCGCCCTCTGCGTGTCCTCGGCACGCGCCTCCATTTCGTTGTTGAAGTACATTCCGCAGGGCGACTTCTCGTGTGTCTGGCTGATTCTGTACTTTTCCGTGTCCGCGCTCGTCACGCTTTTTGGCAATGCCCTCCAGAATCCCGTCGATCCGCGCGCGCGGTCCGACACGCGTCTCATGAGTCTTGTCGTCACCTTCTTGTCTATGCTCGGCCAGGAGGCCGAGAGCGGCGGCGTGCACCGCATGCTGGGGGTGTGCAGCGAGTTTGAGCGCATCGCCAAGGTCGTGATCGACAAGGCCGAGAAGGAGCAGTCCAACCGCCGCAAGCGCAAGAACTTGGATGCCCACGAGGCCGCGCCCGCCAAGTCGGCACCAGGTGCATCATCGTCGTCGTCGGCGGCGGCGTCGTCGGCGATGGCGGCATCGGCCACCAACGGTGGCAACGCATCTTCGTCTGGATCCGGCAAGGCCGGCAACAAGCACGGTCAGGTGTCCTCCTCGTCCTCGTCTCGGCCGTCGTCGCGGTCCCAGTCGTTGGCGCCGACGACCTCCCAAACGCCCCGGCCCACGTCGTCGGGCAGCACAGCCACAACAGCCTACCAGAATACGCCGAGCGCCACGCCTGCCGAAGCCGCCGCCGCCGCGCACACCGCCGCCGAGATTGTCAACAGCCATAAGAACGCTGGCTCCAAGCGACACAACCTACACCACATGAACAATGCCTCTGTGGCTGCCAGCATGTACACCAACAGCTCCATGAACCCCAACTTCAACCACAATGCCAACCCTAACGGCAACCCTAACGGCAACCTGAATGGTAACCCGAACGGGCACGGCCACGGCAACAATGGCAACACGCCCTCGCCCGGCATCCCCCCCAACACCTGGTCGAGCGACTTTGCCACCATGGCCGCCACATCCGCGCCCTGCATGGACGGTTCCACCATCACCGACATGAACGGCGGCATCATGGCCGAAATCGACTTTATGTCCTTTTCGGATCTTACGGGCTTTGGTTCCATTCCCTCAGACATGCCCCCGCCGCCACCGCATGATCTGGGTGAACTGCAGTCCCCGCCCATGATGGCAGATGGCATGGCCGGCAACCAATTCCTGCCACAGGACCTGTTTAGCATCCCGATGACGCTGGACTGGAGCTTTTCTGGCATGGGCGACGGCATGTACGCCACCATGGAGAACGGCGGCTTGGACATGATGCCATCATAATATATAGTCCATGTCAACTTCCACCCTTTTTTCTATGTTCCTTTTTTCCTTTTTTCTTTTTTCTTATGATTTGCAATTTATGACACGGCGTGGATTTGAATATCTACATTTGATTTGAACACCTCCTATATATTTCTGTTTGGTATATTTTTCTGGATATTTATTCTCCCCCTTTCCCCCTCATTTTGGTTCGTCTTGGTTCACCTCATCCTGTTAAGTGCTTTGGAAAGCGTTGCGCTTTGCTGTTGGGTTGTTCTCATTTACCGCAATCTACTCCTTTGCTTCAATCTTTTATTTACTTATGTTTGCTTTATATATACAATATTTTGCAATACACCTCTTTTTCGAGTCCTTTTGTGTTTTAATTTTCTTTTTCATCTCCAACTTTTGGGTTTTAGGTATATCAAATTTAGGAAGCCAAAAGCAGTATTAATACCAGTATCTTATTATTTCATTCTCATTCTTTTGCGATGCAGGTCATGAGTGAACTTATTTCCAAATGGGCATTTGGACAAAACCAAGTCGTCCTCAATATATATGGTGTTTCCTCCAGATTGACGGATGGAAATTATATAACAAGACACATGCCACACCTTCCAACTGTCACCCTCCTTTTGCCCCTTCTTTCTCTCTTTCTCGACGTGCTCACCACTCGAGCCTTGTCTCGCAGATTGTACGTAACAAAAACCAAACAAAAACCTATTTGGAAGTCTCCAAAGATATCAAAAAGGCTCATTTTTGTCGCGCATTATTTTCGGCCCCTGCACAATGAAGCCATCGTCTCGAGCCCGATGCAAGTGCATCTCAGCTAACGGGCAAGCGGAAATGATGCTGTCTTGCTGTGGTTTGCCGTAAAATTCGAAAATAAAGTCCCGCCTCCCGGAGGGCAACACAAATTCGCCTTCCGTCTCAGGAAAGCATACTTGTTTTGCTAGAATATAGGGAGGCTTTACCATCGCGCACGAAATAAGAGGCCGAAGCTGTACCAAGGATTCGTACACCGTAGGCCGCTGCAGCAGTCGAGTGCCGCCTCCGCTAGAGAGGACGACTATGCCCAGCTTTGCAGAAACAGCCTTGTCGTGGCTGGAGTAGGTACCATATATTCCTTCATGCGACGTGGGTTTGGCATGTTGCCGCCTGTTCCAAGGCAGCTTGCAAGTAAAGGAAGCGTGGATTGTTCGAGACGATCGCTTTGGTAGCTATTCGGCGGAGATCGCGACCGCCATGTTCAAGCATTCCAAATATATAAAAGAAAATGACGCAAAAATCACAAAAAGGTATCAAAGAAGGTGAAAATTAAATCGTGGACGGTGCTGGCCGAAGGCTATGCCGGGTTGAAGTAGTCTGGAGTGAAGCTCCAGTCAAAATCGTCCATGAAAGCGTCCCAGTCGATGAGCTGTGCATTTTCGGGCTGGATCGTGGAGAGGTCGATGGACGCAGCTATGTATGTTAGTTGATCCGTATTGAATGTTTTTAAGTTTTTGCTGGTGTAAAGACCGCGTAGCGTAATAAACGTACCTGGAATTCCAGTTGCCTGTCTCTTGCCATTGACATTGGTGGCCGAGGACCGGGACGCTTCAATGTCTCTCTTCCAGCGCCGAATGTAGTCAAATGCAAAACTCGTTCCAAGGCGGCTCGAAAACTGCGAAACATCCTTCATGGGGATTTCCATGGGAGCTTTTGTGTGATGGACCGACCAGTAGGACTCGATCATCTTGGACGCCCGGGATGGGAGATCGCCGTCGTGCACAGAACACGTCTTGATTGCAACAATGGCATCGTGCATGAGAGCATCCTTGGCGTGGACGGGCATGTCCTGAATGTACGGTGACAGCAGGACGTTGAGGGTGATGCAGGCTGACGCGAGGAGCGTTCTGCAAACAAAGTGCGGCGCGTAGTAGAGGAATCCGACCTCGTCTTGCAACTTCAGTGCCTGGCGCAAGACGAGTTGGGACGTGCTGTAGGCCTTCAAGACATTGCGCTTGAAAATCTCGGAGCTGAAGCCCGCGACCGGCATGAAATAAAACGCCTGCACATCTTGCAAGGTGGATAGAAGCGTGAAGTAGTCAACTTCTACAAATATTGTTAGACGACCACAAGGTATTACCGTTGGGAAGAAAGGGGGACAAGGCGTACCGGAAATTCCTGGGAAGAGAAGTCTCTGAACTTTGTCAAACTCTTCTTCAAACATGTCCACGATGTGGTGAGAGATGCCTCGGTTCTCCTCCAGACTCGCGCACGTTGTCTTGCTCAAGCGATTCGAAAATCGTGCACACTCCAAAAGGATGATAAAGTTGATTGGGACAGGAACGGGTGAGGATCGGTCGAGTATGTTTTCGATTGTCTTGTTGAAGAACTGCCCCGTAGATGGAGACCCGGTGTACGAGGAGACCCTGTGAGGCAATCGTTAGTGAAATCCCCGACCCCGATGTAAGTACAACTAGTGGCAGCCGTCAACGAACCTCTGCGAGATGATGTTAAAACCCGCCCAGGTGAACGTTGCCTCTTCGTCGGTGTTGCGAATCTGAAAGTTGGGGTTCGCAAGTTCCGGGTGCTCGCCGCGTCCAGTGTGCAGACCAATCATGAAACAAGAGCTCATGGCGATGGAAGAGAAGATGGTGGACGGATCGCGCAAGAAACGGATCGTAGTGAAAGGCCAGGCGCACAGCAGAAGCAGCGCGTTGATCATGCCCAGCGGCAGGGGCGGGTTGCCCATGGCACCCCACACTTCGGACGGGAGCGATTCGGTCAGGAATGGTAAGACACTGTCATCCTTTGCGAAGCGCCGAGCGGCTATGACCATGATCGTCCAGAAGAGTAACGGTGCCGATTCATAAATCTTGTCGGGGTCGCGGGTCCGGATGATTGGGAAGTGCGGATGGAAGTATTCAAAGTACCTAGAAGTCCGTTAGATTTTGGATAAGAAATGTCTTTAGCACAAAAGACAGAAATTGGATCGGACATACTTGTCAAAGTAATGACTGATATCTTCTCCGGAGAAGGCGCGCGACTTGAGAGCCCGAGGCTCGGCGGTCCTGCCACCGAGAGAAGAGAGAACGGTCTTGGGCGTCGGCGTTGTTGTCACGGACGGGGTCAGGACCGGAGGAAGCATGACCGGCGCATCAAAGGGACGCATTGGTGGCAGAGTGTGGGAGAGTAGGCCATCTCTCGAGTTGATTGGTGGCAGCGTACGGGTGAAAACAGGTGATGGCACGTTGGACTTGCCAACGGCTTCCTTGATGCTTCGCACCTCCTGCTGGAGCTCTTCCAGTTTACTGAGATGCAACGTTAGTCGAATATTCCCTCTGGGTTTCCCGTCCTGGCTTGTGGACACAAGACGGGAATCGTCCGTGACATGGGCCTCTAAAGGCAAGCCTATTTTGTATCTCCGAGGGCGCAAAGTGAGGGCCGACGAGTTTGTGGATGCAGAAACCAGGTAAAAATACGAAACGAAAACATCTTGTGCTCACCTTCTGCGACTGACTCTCTTGTGACTCTTGTCGACAACACACTGGAGCTGTAGCTTGGAGCATCGCATGCATGGCAAGTTGGGATCCAGGTTGGCGTTGCATTTCACCTCTGTGTAGTTTGTTAGTCGACAACGCACACACGAAGCTCTCCAAGGGCATGTGAAGTCAAGGCCGAGGAAAGGCCAGAGAGGCCAGAATGGACGAAAAAGTTATGCAGACGAGAATAAGACGAGTGTTTGGGATAATGCAAGTGGCGGCCGAGACGGAAGCCGATGCTATGGAGCTAGTCAGGCCCAGTCCGCGATAGGGCGCCGGCGGTCTGCCGAGACAGGGGCTGAAAGCGAATCGGTGCCGATGTTTAAGTGCAATGGCGGACGTCTCGCGTGAAGGAGACGAACGCCTCTTGCGGGGATAATGGGGATGGCCAAGAAGGGGACGTCATACTACTGTCTCTGCAATTAACGCAAGCCTATTTCAACGACAAAATAGAGTTGTCAGCCTTTTAAAAATACTCTCGGATCGTTCCCCGCTGCGGCTGCGGCGCGGATGCAGACCATTCGTGCAAAATGAAGAGGCATGGCCCCGTCCGTATATTAAAGGAGCCGCACAGAGCATTAGGACAGATTGGGGCCAGCCACCACAGAATGCAAACAGCACAACACACACGAGGGAGCCGAGCCGGGGGGCCAGGACCGGGGAATCAAACGAACCGTATTACGCTTGATGCGCGGAGTAGACTGTGCGGCCGACGTGGTCGGCGACCCGTCGGGAAGATCGGCCATGCGGCAAAATGCTGGAAGGATGTGCTACGCCTCGGCGAAAGGCGAAGCAAAGTCGGCCGGTCAAGCGGTAAATGCAACGAATAGGAAGCCAGGCGGTGGTGAGTGCCGTCAATGGTGTTTTGATGTGGCTCAGAGCGGCGCTTATGCGAAACAGAGGCCGAAGTCTGAAGCTGTTTGTTGAGAGGTGCGGAGAGGCGCGATTTGGACGAGTCCTGGGTTTTATTCTGGGGGATTTTATTCTGGGAATTTTGGTTGCTTCGAAAAGTGGTATGGCGAATGGATGGAAGGAACGACGCGGCGGCATGTGCCCACCGAGGTCGCTGGGAGGTTCAGTGCGCCTGCTCTTTCCGGTGTCGCAAAAGCGCTGCCGCCATGTAAATGGCAAGAGACAAGAGACGGGTGCGGATTGACGAGGCAACAGTCGCTATAAAAGCAAACAGTGCTGGCAAGAGGGCAGTCGACTTGGGAACGTGAAAGGAAGAGGCAATGGGCAGTGAAGGAGGAAAATGCGAGCGAAATAACGGCAAGCACGAACCAGAAAGAAAGAGAAGGTGGGAAAGAGCGATCAAAGAGGCGCGCGACGAGAGAAAACCCGCCCCTAGTAAGTAGTATTGCGATTGTGTGTTCACCAGCAGCGCCGGTTGCTGCATCCGCACCTGCCTCCGCCGTCGCAAACGATCTCCAGCGCATGGACAACTGCCTAAACAAGAAGGGCCCGAGCAAGACACCGGCGCGCGGCTTGCTCCTGCCCAACGACGTACGATCTCCGCAACTGGCCCAGGCTCCGTTGCTGCGTGATTCGTGCCAGATGCGCCGTGCAGTGACCGAACCTTCGTTCCTACGCTGATTTAAGCATTTTGGAGCAGCTAGACGCCTTGTCAAAATGACGCAGGATGGAGAAAGCATTGCATTAAAGAACAAATTCTCCGGCAGAATTACGTATGACGGGTAAAGACCCGCAGAAACACCCGGACGCAATAGGCCATGAAAGGGAAGCAACGAGTCGCAACTTCCACGTGAAGTCCTTCTCGTTTTGTGTCTTTCCTGGCCATTGGCACTCCGTTTACAAGAGGAACAGGAGCGACCGTCTCCAGCAGGCAGGAGCCAATCACCAAGACCACAAATGTCGCGAATCGCCCCGTCACCTGACAGCATTCCCGTCTGGGATCGGCACTTGGCCGAAGCAGGCAAGAACTGGTCGTTCACCGTCCCCCACAGCGGCTGAGCGGTAAATTCGGGCATGCAAGTGCGCTGTGAACCAGTCCAAAGCACTGCAACGTTGACTAAGTAGCTTTGCCCAGGGCATCGATTTCCAACATCACGGAGTCTCTGTTGCTTATGCTGTGTTCTTGCTTCCACGCTCTTCATTTGCCTCATAATTTCGGCTGGCGGTACTCCTTGCGCGCACGATGTGACAGCTCGACCTTGTCCTTTCTGGATATCGGCACTCCGTGCTCTGTCCGTCTCGATGCCTCGACGTTTCGATGTGCCGATGTCACCCTCCTTTGATCCCGCTCTATGCGGGACGAGGACCAAGGGCGCCGTGGTTGCAAGACCCGTGATTGGGCGGCGACCGTATTCATGCCCTCCGACTGCGGCACTTGCAGCCGGTCCTTTCTGATGTTGCATGATGCAAACGGAGAGAAAAGACGCAGTGTTTGGCCCAGAAGAGGCATTCGAAAGACGAACAGCACTTGCAAGTCGCAGTAACGCTCGTTCCGTTTTAGCCGGTCATCTACGGGCGACCGCCTTTGTTTTGTTGGTGTCGTTTGTTTCCTGTACCGTGAACTGCGCGCAGGTTCAGCTTTGCTGAGCAATGTTTGAACATATATGTTTTCCGCCTGGCTTGTCGTTTCTATAAATGCACAACGTCAATCGATGTCCCGGCACGTCAGACGTTCGAGAGATGTATATACGTATATGCCAGCTCCCCGGATCATGGCCTGTGCCTTGTCTGCTAGTCTGCCCATCTCTGCACCGTCTGCTGGCATTTGTGTCGACGGCCTGGGCGTTTGGAGACTTTGGAGCTTTTGCTTCCATAGTGCTCGCGCCGAATCGAGTGCAGCTGCCGCACCCCTCCCTTTTTCAAAGTAGGCAGTGACATGTATTTGCGGGCCGCGGCACGCCTCCCCCACGGCGCAAGCGGCCTGCCTTTCCTGGTTTGTGGGGATACGCGGCGTGTCAGACGCCTTCGGCAGTTCTTGGCAAGGCCATTGGAAGCGCGAGTGTCTGTCCGTGTGATGACAAAATGAAGGATACGGTGATGCGACGGCAGGAGGAGGCGGAGCCGAACAGGCAGTTGTGATTCGCTGTAAGAGACAATAGATGGAGTATGGGACGTCATGAGAAATGAAACCGACGAAATGACAATGTACTGACGGCTGGAGAATAAGAGACAACGACTAAAACCCATGAGAAACCAAACCCATCCCATCCAGTAATAACGCCCATGGCCCTTGACACGACGGTTGCCTTCCACGATATCATCGAACATATTTGTTCATGAAACGCTTGTGGAAGTCGGAGCGGAGGAGATCCTGTTTAGAAATCGTTGTGTTAGTGGCACACGTGCGCGAGTGCAGAAAAGAAGAGAAGCCCCTCCAGGTGGACACGCACATTGATAAACTCCTTTTGCTTGCCCTTGTCGTCGGTGCCGCGGGCCTGGTTCTTGAACACGACGTCGTCGTCCCAGCGCCGCTTGATTGTGAAATCCGGCTTGTTCAGCAGCGGATTGCCCCGAGCAATGTCGCGCTCACGCTCTTCGGCCTCGGCCGCCTCTCTCTCGCGTTCCTGGAGATTGTTAGCTAGGGATGCATCACCAAGACAGCATTGCTCAGAGCAGCCCACCGTACCTCTCGTTCCCGCTTTTCGGCCCGCTCGCGCTTGATCTTTTCCAGCTCGCGCTGCAGCGCCGCCGTCTCGTCTTCGTCGTCGCTCTCCTCGTCACTGTCGTCGTCGTCGTCGTCCTCCTCCTCCTCCTCATCATCGTCGCCATCGTCGCCCTTGTTGTCGCCATCCTTGTCCGAGTCGTCCGAGTCTGAATCGTCATCGGCGTCAATGTCGCGTGTCTCTTCGAGGATTCGCCTTCGCTTCGCCTCGGCTTCGTCTGTGCTTTCGGTAATCAGTCGTCGCTTCGCAGCAATGGATGCCGCATCGTCTTCAGACGCCGCCGGAGCAGGGCCGCCGCGGAGCTTGGCATAGTGGGCAGCCTCGGCTGCGAGCAGCTCGGCCTGCAGGTCGCGCACCTGGGCGTCGGCGGAGCCCCCCTGGCCAGCTTTGCTGTTGCAACAGAAGATGGGTTAGCAGCTGGAGGCACCGTCGACAGAGCCAAAGGACCATGTAAAGGAACATACCGGTACTTGAGCTGCGTGTGCGCTGGCAGCAGACGCTGGTGGTAGGCAGGGCCTTTGGGGGCCTCCTTGCCGCGAGCCTAAACAGAGTTAGCGAGATGTGTTGGCTGTGTGCTGCATACATTGAGGTCGGCGTACCGGGTCGAATGTCGGTCTGTGGGCGGTCGTCATCGCGGCAGTCGTCGGGTATGCAACGGTGGTGCTCCAGTGCAGAGAAAGACGCAAAAGTGACTTATGTTGGTTGAGTTGATGTATAGTGCGCGGCTCGCAATAGCACATCGCGGCTGGTTGTTTGTGCTGTAAATCTTCACCGCCTTTGGCAGAAAAAGTAATTCTGCCCCTCGCCGCCTGTATTTCAGGCTGGTTGTCAGTGCACTCTCACTGTTTGTTAGCTTATCAACTACGACGGAACCAACGACAGCGAAATTTTGCAGCAGGTTTCGAGTCGACAACGAGCACCCCATACTAGCAAATCCCTTTCCACGACGCGCAACAAGCCAATTGCGATGCCGCACGATCTCGAGCCGTCTCTCAATGAGAAGGCATTTGTCGGCCAGGCGCTACAGGAGGGCCTGCGCCTCGACGGCCGCGGTTTTGAGGACTACCGCCCCATCAGCTTAAGTCTCGGCGAAGAATACGGCGTCGCCGACGTGCGGCTGGGCAACACAAGGTGGGTGCCGTTGGAAGGGGTGGGAGGGAAGGGGGACACAGAACGAGCACCTACTAAAGTCTTTGACTCTCCAGAATCTTTGCGAAAGCTACCGCCGAAGTGACCGTCCCGTACTCTGACCGGCCGTTTGACGGCATCTTCAACATTGTCACCGAACTCAGCCCTATGGCCTCGCCCGCGTTTGAGGCTGGTCGGCCCAGCGAGACCGAGGTGCTGCTGTCCCGGGTCCTCGAGAAGACGCTGCGGCGGTCGGGCGCCCTGGACACCGAGTCGCTGTGCCTGTCGGCCGGGCAAAAGTGCTGGTCTGTGCGTGTGGACGTGCACGTGCTGTCGCACGACGGCAACCTGGTGGATGCATCGTGCCTGGCAGTCGTGGCGGCGCTGCGGCACTTCCGCAAGCCCGAGACGAGCATAGAAAGCGGCGTGCTGACGGTGTACACACCGGCAGAGCGCGAGCCGGTGCCCCTGAGCTGGCTGCACTCGCCGTTCTGTGTGACGTTTAGCTACTTTGGAGAGGTGGCCGAGATGGCGCTGCTGGACGGCACGCTCCTCGAAGAGCAGACGCGGGTGGGCAGCTGCACGATCAGCCTGAACCGGCACGGCGAGATCTGCCAGATTGCCAAGCTGGGGGGCACGCCTGTGGAGGCGGTGTCGCTGCTCAAGTCGACACAGGTGGCACTGCAAAAGGCGAGGGAGTTCTCCACGATTGTGGACAAGGCGCTGGCGGGCGACGCCAAGCGGCGAGACAAGGGCGGGCTGATAGCCGAGCTGTCGGCCGAGAACGAGCGGTAATGGTGTTGTAACCGGGCAGACGCGAGCAGGGGCGGCATGAGACTTGTCTTGGAGAGGCAGGCACCATATACAACCACGACGTGATGATACCCTGTACAATATAGCACTTGGCGCAAAGGCATAGAATACAACGGAGTCCAAGGACAAAGATCCAAAAGAATAGAACCAAGCATTCTAGTCATAACCGACGTATGCTCCAGTATGTGAAGCGGGATATAATACGGTGGAAAAGTCTATGTACATAGAGAATAGAGAGAATAGCAAAGGCGCTGGTACAGAGGAAAGAAGGCTGGGCAGAGACACAGGGAGGGAACGGAGGAAAAGGGCAAACGTGATACAAGCATCTACCGCATCACGGGCGGCCTGGATTCTTTGTTCCACTTGACGCGCGACCGCAGCCACTCGACGGCTTCCCGCACGCCGGTGCCGGTCAGGGCCGACACGGGCAGCACGCGCGAGTCGCGGATGCTCGACGCCTTTTCGCCCTCAAAGACCTTCTTCACCAGCCCCTCCTTGATGCGCACAACCTCCACGCAGTCTTCGCGGTCTTGCTTGTTGGCGAGAATGAGCAGGGGCACGCCCTCGGTGTCTGAATGCTGCAGCACGTCTTCGAGCACGGCACGGCACTCGTCGAGACGCGTAGCCTCGCCGAGAGGGACCGTCGCGGCGGCCGTCGCCACCACCGCCGCCGACGACGCCGCGGAGGTGGAGGCGGAGCCGGGTACCGTCGACGAGGAGGACGATGCTGCTCCTGCTGCTGCCCCCGTCGATGCGGAGGGCACCGCTACGCCGTCGTCCAGCAGGCCGTCGCCAATGTCGGTGCTGTCGATGACAAAGACAATGGCGTGACAGCTCTGGTAGTAGCTCTGCCACAGCTTGCGCAGGCTGAGCTGGCCGCCGACGTCCCAGAGCTTCATGTACATGTCCGGCAGCGTAATGGTCGACACATTCTGGCCGACGGTGGGCACGGTCTGCAGCTTGGGCGGCGCGGCCGGCTGGTCGGGCGAGAAGAGGGCCTTGACCTGCTCGTGGAAGGTGGTCTTGCCGGCATTGTCCAAGCCGAGGAGAATGACCGAGTACTCTGCCTGCGTGAGCGGGGGGGGACCTCAAATCAGCAGACTTCTACTCCGATCATCGCTGAAGATACTCACCTTCTTTGCTCGTGGCCAGCATATAGAGGCCCTTGGCCAGGTGGTACATGTCGCACGGGCGGCCCCTGCAGATGCGAAGGGACCAAGGAATGCAGAGAGACGTTTAAGAAGAACAGATAGGGGCGGCGGTTAAAACTGTACCGGGTGGCCAGACGGGCGTCGGTGAGTCGGTGGGTCGGTGTGCCGGTGTGAACGTGTGAACGTGTGCGCAACCAGTGTTTCTGTGTGTTTCTGGCTTTGTGTCGGTTGTTGGCAGGTGGAGCTCCGTCTCTGCAAAAGGAGGAGCAACAGCCAGTGCTGTTTGATTGGCGGTTTGCTCAGTGGCATCGAAAGGCTGACAGTGATACGGGGCGGCACCTTCCCAAACGAGCAACTTCTGGTTTAGCAGACCTTAGCTGGGCCTGGCCTCGTTCCAGCGCTCTTTCCCCAATGGCCGTGCTGGGTCTGGGCATAGTTCGTCAGCCGCATGGCGCCTCTTGCCGTTTTGAGCATCCATCGTCGTAACTGTCACTCTTTGATACGGACAGAGAAAGAAAGATGTAAACCAAATCGCACAAGGCCACGAGCTTTGACATTTTTAAGTTGGTCTCTTACTGGGGGAAGGCAACATAAGGAAGAGTACCAGTGGTAACACCCTTGCGCATTCGGATAGAGAGACAGTGTCCACGCTTCAACACTGACTCTATACTTGTGTTCTGTCTGCGCCAAAATGAATTCCGTGTGTAAAGGAGGCCGAAAAGATGACACAAATACAATATAAGACTTGCATTGTCACAGATACTGCGTATTTGCAAAGGAACGATCCCAGGCACGCTGCCCTCGACAAAACGTCGCGTCCATGTGGCCGGCTTCTCTGGCGCCAAGATGTGCACTCATGCCAGGTCGAACGGGGAAGCCGGTCTTGTGTCTTTGTCGGTACTTTGGAAAATCAAGGCCGTTCCTACCCTGTTGGCATCCGTCTGACAAAGTCTTAACGTTGGAATTCATCTAAAAGAACTGTGAAAAGAACTGTGAAAAGAACTGTGAAAGAAACTGTAAACTCACCCAACTTCCTCTCGTCCAGCCCTTGTTTTCAGCCAGGCACTGCAAATGGAAGCATCTGCTTAGCAGCGACTCTCCGATGCCCAACTCAAGGTCAAGTCCACCTTTCTCCCTTCTCTCCATCCGCCTGCGGCAATCTTCAAGGGCAGGCCGTTGAGCTGTTAGTCTTATACTCAGGGCAATGGGTCTCAACAAGAAGTGTGTCTCTGTGTGTTCTTCCACTCGCGTCTTATCGTATCCATACTTCGTATCAATGGTACATCCACCAGCTGTGGCGAGCTTTGAAGGTGGTGGAGAGTAGAGAGGATGGTACATACATACATACATACGCATCTCAGAGGCTTCCTGCGCACACTGTGCCACCCACTCTGCCGACACTGTCTTGTCTCGGGCACACTCGACTTCGTCTGAATCTCTCTGAAGCGCCTGTCGACCGTTCTGCTGGCGTCCCACCCGATCCACTCTGCTGCACAGAGGTACAAAGAACAGAGCACCACCTGGTGTTTTGGTGGACTGTCTCACCTATGAAGCGAGCGACAGTGTACACACTACAAATATGGAGCAGCTAGATTCCATATCTTTAGGTGCATGGCGTGAGCTACACAAGTTGCCAGCGCCGGCGTAGCCGCTACACAGTACGAAGTGAGGTCGTCGGTGAGCGCCTTTTGGCATGCTATGGCGTGTTTTGGTGCGCCTTGGTGCTTTTTGGTGGCTCTGGCTCGTCGATGGCCACCTCCTTCTCTCCATTTTGCCTCTTTCCGGTCGTGGAGTCCCCACGTCTTTTCCCAATGGAGAAGGACCTAGGGCGTAGCTCGTTTCTCGAATGCGTGGGCTCTGCAGGTCTGGCCGGCGGTCCGTCCGAACAAGCGTGGGCGAAACTGAACCAAGATCGAGGAAAGAGCGTTGGGACAGAGGCCGAAGGAAAGAGCAAACCGCAAAACGACAGGAACTACGACGGCGGGCAAGAGCAAGAGTGCAATTGCAGCACGCTCTTCCTCTTTCTTCAAAACGATTCCTCCTTTTCCAGCCTTTCTCCCCCTTTACCATCACATTTATATTCCAGACCTGCTCCATTCCCTGTCGTGCCGCAGATCGATCCAGATCTTGATTCTCTTCCGTCCCGAGCCTCCGAAGTCACATCTATTCCTTGCAAGGTCTCACATATTGTCTTTGAGAGCCCGGACAGCACATAGGCGACACGCGGCTGGTGTTATACAAGCGGCTTCCTTATTTTCGATGATCGTTCTCTTTCCTTTCTTCTTTTGGAAATACCACTTCTCTTTGTTGATTACAATTTTCTTTGTTTTGCCGTCATCGTCCGCAGTAGACATCGAACAATAAGCGACCATCGGCGACCAGCTCGGCCATATTTCTTCGTCTTTTCCTCCACACGTCGTTCAAATTCCGTTTTCCTTTGCTCTCCTCTCCTCTCCTCTTCTCTTTCACCATGACTTTCAGAGAGCGCTGGAGCCGCGTGGTCCGCAAGTCTGGATCCACCTCCACTATGGCCAGCAACGACACCAGTGTTTCCTCGTCCGGCAGGAGCTTTTTGGGCCGGACGTTTGGCCTGCGCAGCAACAGGACACCCTCCAGCACCGCCAATACGTCCGTCTCTAGCTCCAGCGGACGGGGCCTCGGAAGCAGAGGCAGCTCCACCACCAAGGGCGTCAGGACCCTGCCCGGCGCTGTTGGTGCCGCTGCTTCATCTTCGTCTTCTACTTCGTCCGCCTCTGGTAACAGAGACATCCAGCATAGCATCGGCAGCACGATTGACGCGGCTCTTGGCGGCCGGAGCAAAAAGTGCAACAAAATGCCGACGCTGGAGGACCACCACGACGAATCGTACGTGACCGACAACGAGGCGGATTTCTACGACGGCGGCGACCTGCACTACAGCAACATGACCGAGGCGCAGCGGCACCAGGCCCGCCTCAACGCCTACCGCATCAAGTTTGGTGCGTCCCGGCCGTGGCGCGGCAGTTTCGACGAGATCAGCCCGTGCAACTCGCGCCGGGTCAGCCTGGACATGGGCCCTTGAGTGTTGCGTGGTTGGGGGACGTGAAGGTTGGGGAGGGTGTGGACAGATACGGCCGTGCCTTTTTGCGCACCCGGTCACGTCGACCCGTTCAGACATTCAATCCCGTTGCCAAACGAAAGAACAAAAGCGACACGCGCCGCCGCTGTTGCGGCTTATCTTCGTTGCATATCGTGTTCTTCAGCGAGCACTTTGCATTTTGCGCCGAGTCGAGAAAAGGCTTGATGACGACATCATGCCGGCCCGTGTGCATTCCTCCACTATAGGACGACCGGGCACTTCAGAGCCGCGTCGAGTGGCTGCGAGCGGGGTGACATAAAGGAAAATGGGTGACATGAAGGACCAGAATATTCCGCATATTTTATCGACGTTTCTGTACCGGGTCATGCCTGTGCCATTCATGCCATAAGATATTTAAGCAATCTGAGGCTATAGACAGTTATTTAAACAGGTTCGAAAAAAAGGACATGGTCGAACATTATCCAAGTCTTTCAAAAATTCAGATCTCTAATAATTGAGAACAATTCCCGAAAACCTTTCTTCCGTATTTAAACGTGTTCGTAAAAGAGGCCCTATGCAATCTCACCGTACATCCACTTGGATACGCTTTGGAGAGTCGGTGACCACGCTAAATGCCGAGACGCCATATCTGAGTAAATTTCGCCGACGACCGGGGAACCGTTCCCAGCCCACCAGGAACCTGCACGACCCGGTCAAACCATGTTTCTAGCACGCCGCCGGCTCCTACAAACGCCTTTTGCTGCTTCTTCTCCTTATACTGCTTCTTTTCTCACCAAGAACGTACGTGCTCTCGCCATGGACTACTCGATTGTTCCCACGCCCGACGCCTGCTATGCCGACTTTTGTCTGATTCCGGTGCGTCCCTGCAAGGTTGAGCGTCTCCGCGAAGTAGCTACTGAATTAATTTTGATTGCCTCTTTGACAGGTCGGCACCGGCAACGTCTCTGTGGCCGAGGACGTGGCAGAGGTCCAGCGGCTGCTGCAGGCCTCGGGCCTGACGGTGACGATGCACGCCAGCGGCACGACGGTGGAGGGCAGCTGGGACGACGTGATGCGGGTGATTGGGCAAGCGCACACCGTGGTGCACCAGCGCGGCGTGCTGCGGGTGCAGAGCTCGATGCGCGTGGGGACGCGGACGGACAAGAAGCAGACGGCGGCCGACAAGGTGAAGCGCGTGCAGGACATCCTGAAGGCGTAGACGGGACAGTGTGGGCGTTTTATACGTTTTATAACCAGTTTATTCTTTTTTTTTCTTCCCGGATGCTCTCTCTTCCAAGAAGGGCAAGATTACAAGATTAAGGTAGTTCAAACCCGATACACAAAACGACCAAAACAAAAGTAATACACATCAAAGAAAGAACAGTCCCCCGTGCCTTTTCTCTCACTGTTCCTGATTGCTCCCCATGATATAAACACCGGCTCTTTCCACCCACCGTAAGCGCCCTGAACGTCTGTGCAAAGCGCAGATGGTGTCCAGTCGAAACGCAACCCCACGCCGAAGCCTTTCAAGGATGCTTCTTATCTCTGTCTACCCGCGGACCGTCGACTTCTTGGCCGCCTTGCGCAGCTCCTTCTCGCGCTCGCGCTCGAGGTACTTCTTCTGGGCCTTGGCGTCGAGGGCGTTCAGCTCGGCATCGCGCTTCTGCTTGCGCAGCCGCTCGCGCTCCAGAGCGCGCTCCTCGGCCTTCTCCTCCTCGTCGGCCTTGCGGATCTGCTTGGAAATCTCGTCGCGGGTGTTCTTGATCTTGCGCAGGACCTCGGCGCGCAGGTGCGCGGCCTGAACCAAGACGTCGGCGGAGCGCACAAAGTACGAGTAGATGGGCAGGAGGGGCTCGTAGTCGTTGTTCGAGGGCAGGCGGTACTTGAGGAACACGCGCTTCCGGGGGGCGGTCTCGTCCAGGCTAGAGACCTTGTTAGCAGCCACAAAAAACAGAAAAGACAGAAAAAAAAAGAAAAGAAAAAAAGAAAAGAAAAGGACATGGAACTTGACTGGAACGAGGGCAACGCACGTAGTCGGCTTTTCAATGGGCTGGTCCGAGATGATGAGGTAGTCGAGGTTCTCGCCGGCGGCCTCGGCGGCCTTGATGAGCTCCGGGGTGAGCAGGGCCTCGGTGATCTCGGCGCTCTCGCTCATGACCGTCAGCCAGGGAGGCAGCTTGGCGTGGTCCTTGGTGAAGGTGATGGACACGTCGAAGCGCTCGTCGCGCACGTTCTTCATGCGGTCCTTGTTGACAATGGCCCAGACAAAGCCGTCGTAGCCGCTCTTGTAGGTGCCGGCGCTCACGCCAGCCACCGTTAGCGCCTCTTTGCCGTCAAAGGGGTACAGGATGGCCTCGAGCGTGTCCGAGGGGGCGGGCTGGCTCTCCAGGAAAAACGACACAATGTACTCGGCAACGATGACGAACGGGTTGAAGCGCTTGATCAGCTTGAGCTTGGTGTCGATAAAGGCCACGTTCTGGCGACCCGACGCATACGCCGCAAACTCAAACAGCGAGTTCTCCTTGATCAGCGTCGACGGGTCGGCCGACGTCGTGGCGCTGGCCAGCGCATCGAGTGCGGCACCCTGGTCCTCCTGGGCCGCCACCGACGCGGGCACGCGACCAAAGCCAACGAGCGCAAACTCGCCCGCCAGCAGCTTGGCGTGCGCCGCGGCCCAGGCGCGGGCTTTGCTGCGGTTGAGGCGCGTGCCGATAAAGTGCACGACGAGCACAATGGCCATCAGCCCAAAGATGATGCCCTCAATCTTGAAGTCGCTCAGCGAGTACCGCTCGTGCACGTTGTACCACTTTGTGTAGGGGCGGGCCGTGACCGCCGGGGCGGCCGCACCACCACCAGCACCAGCACCGGCAGCGGCAGCGGCGCCGGCAGCAGCGAAAGCATCGGGAGCCGGGTCGGGGACGCCTGCGAAGTCGGCAAAGTCTGGACACGAAATGCTGTGAGCGGAATGTCGCGCGCGATACACGGGGCTCCTTTCCTGTGGGCTCCCTCGCCGGTCTGCATCTCCCTCTCGCCCCTATTCTAGTCTCGGCTGCAAAACATACCCGTATCGCCCGAGGCAATTGGCTTCTCAGCGGCCTTGCCGCCGCCAAAGAAGCTGTTGAGAACCTGCGCCATGATGAATTCGCGGTGAGGATGGCGATGGATGGGAGAAAAGGTCGTCGTCGATGGGGGTGGAGGAGAAAAGGAGCTCGGGGAAAGCGAGAGGCGAGTCCCACTGATCAAACAAAAGACGACGCCGGAAAGGACACACTGGGGCTGGACTCGATCTGGATTGGCTCAGATTGCCTGGTGTGCGTCTGTTGTGGAATTTCGAAATTGGCGTGGTTCCCAAGGCTTCGACCAATTTCTCTGGCGTTTTGTCGGCCCTTTTAGCGCATCTCTCGTCTGGTCATTGTGCACTTTACGGGGGAAGGAGCACCAAGCCGTTCGCTGGAACCGCCGACCCACTGGGACCTTCCCTCTTCAGTTTGCTGTTCAGTCGCTTTTGTGTCCTGCGCCTTCCCCAATCGATTGCCCCTAAGCTCCACTAGCGTCACAAAATATGATCCTGCCATTGTGGGCGCCGCCATGTGCTGGAAGTGTGTGGAGCGGTAATAAGTGGGGCATCTCGAGGCTGCTACTCACTAGGGCAGTAGCAAGGTTGGGGTTGCCCTTGACAACTTGGAGCTGTTTGGTCGGTGCTTCTTGCCGCGAAAATGCAACTATTCACAGATGGAACGTCCGATGAAAATACTCGCCGCAGCGGTAGTCACAATCTAGAAACTGGTAGATTCAAACTGCAAATGACGCGTGTTGGACCGGCAAACTCTCGAGAATGGACATTTTATGACACGAAGCCCATCGCACACCATGTCGCGCACATCGACTACACGCAGCTACGGCGGTCGGAGAACAACGGCGGGCAGTCGGACGAGGCCGATGCTATTCCAGACGGAATTGCCCATCAGCCCGACAGACAGACGGCGTCGGAAGCTGTTTCCGCCCAAGATCGACCTCGTTGACGTTGACGACCTTACGGAGCAGCTGACGTTTGTGTCGCTCGACGATGCACTCACGCTGGACCACTTCGACGTTGCGCCGCCAGACGACATTGTCTTGGAGGCGAAAGAGGAGCGGGTGCCGGTGACGGATAATCTATCATTGCAAGAGACCACGACGCCAGCGAGGACGGAGGATACGGAAACGACAGAAAAGGAGCCGACAGAAGAGGCGGTGCCCGTCGACGAACCGCCATCAGTCGACGTGTCGAGACACGATGGCCCCAAACCAACAACGGATGAAAGCCATGCACCACCTCTCAGACGCTTGGACGACCACATCGATGGCCACCTCCCCGACGACTCGCTGCTCGACGACTCCTACTACCACGAAGACAGCATCGACTCTGGTCTGCGCGTGCTCACCTGGGCCGACTTGTGTCCGCCGGGCGACCGCATCGAGAAGATCGCCGAAGCCTCCTACGCAGAAGTGTACCGCGTCACCAACGAGCGCGGCACGAGCATTATCAAAACCATCCGACTGGCGTCGCCCATCAAGGCGCAAACCAAGGCCCAGGTACGGTCGGGGCTGGTCGACGAGGAGCCGCACGACGAAGAGGACCTGCGGGGCGAGCTGACCATCTCCGAGTGGCTGGCCGACATTCCCGGGTTTGTCGTGTACAAGGAACGCTACATTGTGCGGGGCCGCGCGCCCAAGGACCTGCTCGAGACGCACCAGACGTTCCACCGGCGCGCCAAGCGTCAGGACCCCGACCGCCTGCAGTTTTACCCGTCGCCGAGCCGCTACCTCGACGACACGCGGTTCCTCGTGATTGAACTGGGCGATGCGGGCCGGGCACTCGAAGACACGACGCTGGACTCGGTGTCGCAACTGTGGGATGTGTTTTTGCACGTCGCCATCGCCCTGGCACGAGCGGAAGACCAGATCCACTTTGAACACCGCGATCTGCATGAGGGCAACCTCTGTGTGCGACAAGTCGCGCCGCCGCGCTGCAAGGACGAAGCGGACGACTCGCCCGTTGTCTTTGGCTTTTCAGGGCTCGACATTACGATTCTGGACTATGGCCTGTCGCGCGGCGAGGATGTGGACGACGATGACCGGAGCGAGCCCATCGCCTGCGACCTCGAAAAGGACCTGAGTCTGTTCACGAGCACCCATGCCGAGCAGTGCAAGGTGTACCGGCAGATGCGCTCACACCTCCTTAAAGGCGACCGTGTGCACCTGCCGCCGGACTGCCACGGCACGCCCTACGATGCCGGGCCGGACGGCGCGCCCATCTCGTGGAAGGACTACCATCCCTACACGAACGTTTTGTGGCTGGCGTACCTATACGAGTACCTGGTGCGCCATTACTGCGGCGATAAGTCCGAGCTGGCCGCCTTTCGCCGGGCCACGCGCGAGCTGTGGCTGCACATGAGTCCGGACGCGCCGCCGGCTGTGCTGTCGTTCCCGAGCGCGACGGACATTGTGCGCTTCGCCGTCGAGGCCGGCTGGTTGACGGAGGCGCAATTGATTGGCGGCGGCGGCGTCAGCACGGAGGACAGCTTCTTCAGTCGGCGTGACCGGACGGGGTGTACGACGGTGGACATCTCCCTGCTTCTCAGTGAAAGCGTGGCGGCGGACGAGAGCACATGCGGCGGCAGCGAGAGTATTATTGAGGCTCAAATTGTTGAGCGTGACGAACTGGAGCCCAGACGGTCGCCGCGTCGACGGCGGCCGGTCGTGCGGTACGGTGATTAGACGGGTGCTTCTATGATGCGATGTAATGTCAGGAGGTCTTGTTCTTCTGCCGGTTTGCGTTTCGAGGCGTATGTGGATATTCATACATAGACGGCGGCCTGAACGACTGCTCATTGGGATGGCATAGTTGGTTAGCAAAGCATGGCGTTTGTTTATTCTATTGATTCGTCTGTCTTCTTCCTTTACTTTTGCTTCGTTTTTTGTTTTCTTCCTTTTGTTCTCGGCCCCTGTCAGTTGTGTTCGTCTGACGTCTCTCTTCCTCTCTTCCTTGATTTCCACTGTGAAAGGACTCGGCATTGTCCAAAGCATTTTCGAAATAACGGACCTCTTCTTGCAGAGTTGCCGTCTAATCATTATGGCATGGAGCTGGGGGCACGATACGCCGCCGACGCCATAACCATGACGTGTGCCCCGCAGCGGCCCCCGCAAGAGGATGCCGAGGTTTCTGCTCAGCGCCGAACAATAGCGCTGCCCACTAACAAGCGCTCCACGCAGCTTCTTTGCCTTCACCAAACATCCAACCCATCGCGGAACATCTCATAACTCGTGAGCATAACGTCCACTTCATTCGACCCCGGGACGGATATCACCTTATTTGACATAACCACATTATTTCGAGAAGTTCCACGACGTGCAGAGCCCCGCTTTTGAAGCTTCCTTAGCACATAAGTTATAACTCGGAAGCTTCCATTGAATGGGGACGAAGAAGAAAAAAGAACAGAACGGCCCCGGAGATTCTGCCATACTTGTTCTACTTGCATTTTTGTGACAAGAACAACCGAGAAGCGGAGACGACTAGACGACTAGACGGTGACAAGTATACCAAGCTATCTGGTAGCTCTACCTTGAACATCGCCAAACTTCCTTGAAGCTCTTTCTTCTCATTTCCTTCTTTTTCGTCTTTCACTTCACTGCTTTGCTTCACCCAAGACCCCTCACAGCCGTCACAATGGCGTCCAAGCTCACTCCTGACGACGGGCGCGTCACCCACCACACGGCCCCCATCCGTGGCAAGACCTACCACTACATCGTCGCCGTTCCGCCCGCCGGCCAGACCGCCAAGGGGACCATCATTCTGATCCACGGCTTCCCCGACCTCGGCTTCGGCTGGCGCAACCAGATCCCACTTCTCGCCGAGCAGCTCGGTCTCCAGGTCATTGTGCCCGACATGCTCGGCTACGGCCAGACGGATGCCCCCCACGAGCCCGCCCCGTACGCCTACAAGAGCGTCTGTGAAGACCTTGTGGCCATCGTCGACCATGTCGGCGTTGTTGGTGGTGGCGGCCCGGCCGGCGCGGCCGATGAGAGCAAGCGCTTCTTTGTCGGCGGCCACGACTGGGGCGGCGCTGTTGCCTGGCGTATGGCCCTCTGGCATCCTGACCGCCTGCGCGGCGTCTTCAGCGTCTGCACGCCGTACTTTGCGCCCTCCAAGAACCCCTTCTTACCGCTCGACGACATGGCCAAGCTGCTGCCCAACTTTGGCTACCAGAAGCAGTTTGCCGGCGACGAGCTCTGGCGCTTTATCGACGCCGAGCCGCAGCGCGTGCGCCAGTTCTTGCAGACCATGTACGGCGGCAAAGCGACGTTGTCAGAGGCCGACGTCGCCGCTAAGAAGAGCCCGTACCTCTTTGACACCACCAACGGCGTGCACATGGACCGCATCGCCGGTGTCGGCCCCACCCCGCTGCTCAACGAGGCCGAGATTGAGTACTATGCCAAGGAGTATGCCCGCCACGGCCTGCGCGGCCCCACCAACTGGTACCGCACACTCAAGTACAACTACGACGACGAGCGCGAGATTGTCGGCGGCGACGAGGAGGACGAGGACAAGGCGGACGTCTATAAGAGGAAAGCCCGCTCCGTGATCCGCGTGCCCTCACTGATGCTGGCCGCCACCAACGACCAGGCACTGCCGCCGATTCTGAGTGAGCAGATGGGCAAGCACTTTACCAATCTGACCAAGTCCCAAGTGCCGGGTGGCCACTGGGTGCTCTGGCAGTCGGCGGCAGCAGTCAACGAGCGTATCAAGAACTTTTTGGCCCCGCTGCTGGACGGCACGACAAAGGCGGCTCTGTAGGGGAGCTGAAGGAGGGATGTGCAAGGCACGACTCGGACAACCGGACGGTGGTGATGACGAGCAACAATGGAATATCGCCGAGGTGAATTGGTTCGGGGTTGATTGTCATGAATGGTAATGCTATTCTCACCGGCTTGTTATCGTGGTCGCTTTTCCTGTGGGCTCCTTTCTGTATTATGTATGTTGCCGTCGTATGCGATCACGTATCCATGATTCCAAACTCTCTCGAACCTCAAGGTGCTCCCACTTCGCCTCGTGTTGAAAGTAGTAATATGAAGGCAGTTTCAAGGCTAGCGACAACCCAGTTGTGCATCGGGCTTACTATTGTCGATTAGACAAAGGGAACATTGTCTTTAATGCTGTATCTGTCGGTTGCACGGTCCTTGTCCCACGTTTGTCCGTGAGATACAAACGATGGCGCGCTGTGGTTCATACAGCGCAACAGCCGTCGCAGAAGGGTTCGAGTGGTCTCGGAGGACCTGAACATAGCCGTGACGTTGCTCATAAGACCCAGAGACCCCGGCTCGGGCTCAAGTCTCGTGTTGGATCGTCGTTATCCCACGTCAAAACCTCATTTCAGAGTGAACTTCTGTCCTGTGACCGACGGTGCCGACGATTTGGCCTTTTTATTTGGCTTGCCACACATGGCACATACTGTTTTCTGTGAGCTGGTGCGGTCGTCAATGCAAAATAGACCAATCAAGCTCACCATCTTCTTTGTATGAACACTGCAACAAGTTAGAAGTCGATCCACAACAAATGAGGGCGGCACTTGGCGAGACAACTCACATTGTGGCAGTACTTGTGTCCTTGCGCAACTTTGACTTTGCACTTGTCGCAGGAACTGGAAGCGCGGTCAGACAGGCGGTTCAGATGCATTTGTTGCGCGGCAGCAGATGGAACTCCGTAACGCTGGGCTAAACCTCACCTCGAGTATTGCGCGTATGGATTCTTGGCAGCTTTTGAAGTCAATTTGCTCTACTCCGTGTTAGTTGCAACATGACTCCACAGCACATCACAGTACAGCACACAGGACACAGCAGCTCACCTTGCCAATACCGTTCTGGCCCAGCGTGGCCGACTTCTTAGCGCCGCTGGCCGAAGACGAGGCTGCTGACCCATAGTATATTTCATTCTTCTTCTTGACGCCAGGCGTGGCCAGCGACGTCCCAGTGACGAGCTTGGCACACTTGCTGCAGACCATGGTGTCCAGGTGGATGTGCGTGTGTGAATAAAATGCCCGTGGGATGCGTCTAGGTTGCTTGCTTCGCCGTGAATGGTTGCTTTGTATCCCGACGGTGCAGATGTGATGAAATCAAAAAGTTAAATAGTTGGTGTTGGGGAGAGTTGAAGTGCGCTGTTCATCTCAACTCTGAGTTGGAATGCTTAAGAAAGTTGAGGTTATCGCCACTGTTGATGAACTGTGCTGTGGCTGGAGTGTGGCGTAAATGCTGGCGAAATTTAGTAGGTCGCCCCCCTGCTGCCAAAGTGCCAAGCAGCCAGGTTGTCAAAGGCCCTGCCTCTTTCCCTTTTTTATGGAGCACATCTGAGACACGAAGCATCCGCAACGGTCGAGCCTTCCCATTCTTCGGCTTCTGGAGTCGATTTCACCTTCCGTGTTTCTGCAATCCAATTACCGTGGCTCGTAGAAGGCGCGCCAGGCACGCTGTACGGAAACACGGGACATTGGACGGAGTACGTCGTGATTACGTCGCAGTTTGTGCCGTAGCGAGGCTGTGGTGCTCCTTCTCGCCCCGTGCATCGTGCGTCGCACTTTCCTCGAGCTCACGTATTCATATGACGAAAGGGGGCTACACTGAGAGGGATTTCCTTGGCGCGCGTCTCCTCTCATCGCACCTGCTGCGGGTCAAATACGAAGCAAGAGAGACGGCCAAAAAAAGAAATAAGAAACGACGGAGGAAGGACAAGTTAAAACAGGAAGGCACGCCCTGGCCGTCAGACTGCTCCTGCTGGTGAGCCCCTTTGCGGCACCCACTACTGCAGCCAATAGGACGCGGCGTTTGTTTCAGGGAGGCGGAAACGCGCAGTTGAATGGGGCACAATGGAGTCGCTCTTGCCTATGCTGTAATACGATGTAATTACAGAGGATTACAGCGCTGACCAGTCGCTACTCCACTATCGAAGTTGCCCAGCTGCAGCGACAAGGTCGCCTAAGACAGGAAGGGGCCGGGGAGGATGATTAAAAATAATAGCAACTTTAATACCTAAAATTCCACACAACCACCTACTCCTTACGCCCCCAAACAAAGTGGCTGTGCCAGTGGGCCAAAGGCCAATTGCTCTAGGCAGATCTCCAGGGGCCCAGCCCAGACTAAAGAGCAGGAGCAACCGCTGCCAAAACAAACGTGGCAGTGGCCTCGTCACCAAACACGGGAAACACAGCCAGAAACACGGGCAAAAGCCAAAAGCAGCCAACCTCAAACCAACCTCAACCAAACGGCCACATCACCACACCGACGCCTTGCATCCATCACGACGTCGAATTCGACAAGCGCGACACGCACTGTTCTCTCTCCTCATCAAACACCCACCCTTCGTGCCGTCCCTGTGTGTCCATGATTGCTCCGCTGCTGCCGTAGTCTTCCGCACGACGGGACCTTTCTCCCCTTTTGAAGCAGCTGTTGACTGGCTTCGCTTTTTGCGACAACCACGTTTCTCACCCTCTTCTCGCATTCCCTTCGATCCATCTGAATGACAGGGCGACCACCACCGCCCCCGTCGGGGGGCTACGGAGGCGCGCGCAACAACGACCTGCTGCTCGACCTTGACGACCAACCCGTCTACGGCGGCGGCCAGCGCTCTGACCTCAACGACGACGACCTCATGCGCACCTACACGCACGACCAGGACGAGACCCTCCCTACACGGCCCTCTGTGTCCTACGACGACTTTGTCGGCGCTGGCGAGACCACACACCCCTCCGTCAAAACGAGTCGCGGCGGCGCCAATGCCTTCTCGTCTGCCGCGGCCGGCGGTGGCAGCAGTGCCTCCCGAGGCGGGAACAGCAGCGGCGCCGGCGCCTACGACTCCTCCTATGCCTCTTCGTCCTCTGCGCGGCCTGGCGGCCCCTACTTTACCGAGGCCGACCGACAGTACAGCCAGACATCGGGTCTCGGCAACTACCAACGGTACGCCGACGACTTTGACGACTACCCAGAAGATGGCCAGTCCTACTACCACCAGGGCGGCCGCATCAACTCGGGCGACACGCCGGGCCACGCCAATGCTCGCAACCGCAACAGTGTTCTCGGCCTCGGCGGTGGCCTGCTCGGCCGCGCCAAAAACATGCTCGGCCTGGGACAGGCCGGCTATTCCGAGATGGACCTGCCTCTGACGGAATCGGCCGCGGGACCCGCAGGACAGCGTTCAGGCGGCGGCGGCGGCGGCGGCCGTGGCGGCAGCGGTGGAGGTCTGGCATCGGGAGACAATGGCCGGCGGCAGAAGAAGTCGTTCGACATGGGCAATTTCAAGTTCGGCTTCGGCCGCAACAAGGTCGACCCGGCCACGCTGGGCCCGCGCATCATCCACCTCAACAACCCGCCCTCCAACGCCGCCAACAAGTACGTCGACAACCACGTGTCGACTGCCAAGTACAACATCATCACCTTCCTGCCCAAGTTCTTGTTTGAGCAGTTCTCCAAATACGCCAACATCTTCTTCTTGTTTACTGCCGCCCTTCAGCAAATCCCCAACCTCTCGCCCACCAACCAGTACACCACCATCGGCCCCCTCATCGTCGTGCTGCTCGTGTCGGCCGGCAAGGAGTTGGTCGAAGACTACCGCCGCAAACAGGCCGATCGCGCGCTCAATATGTCCAAGGCGCGCGTATTGCGCGGGTCGTCGTTTGAGGAGACCAAGTGGATCAACGTCGCCGTGGGCGACATTGTCCGTGTCGAGTCCGAAGAGCCGTTCCCTGCGGATCTGGTGCTGCTGGCGAGTTCCGAGCCCGAGGGTCTTTGTTATATCGAAACCGCGAACCTCGACGGCGAAACAAACCTCAAGATCAAGCAGGGTCTGCCCGAGACGGCGACCCTCGTTAGCTCAAGTGACCTGAGCCGCCTCGGCGGTCGCATCCGCTCCGAGCAGCCCAACAGCAGCCTGTACACGTACGAGGCGACTCTGACGATGCAGGCCGGCGGCGGCGAGAAGGAACTGCCGCTCAACCCCGAGCAGCTGCTGCTGCGTGGCGCCACGCTGCGCAACACACCCTGGATCCACGGCGTGGTCGTCTTCACGGGCCACGAGACAAAGCTGATGCGCAACGCCACGGCTGCGCCCATTAAGCGCACCAAGGTGGAGCGTCAGCTCAACATGCTGGTCCTCTTGCTCATCGGCGTCCTTTTGGCGCTCAGCATTATTTGCACCGTCGGCGACCTGGTGTGGCGTAACAAAAGCGGCAAGTCGCTCGACTATTTGTATTTGGCCAAGACCGACTCGGCCGGCTCGGCCGTTTCGACCTTCTTCAAGGACATGGTCACGTACTGGGTGCTTTTCTCGGCGCTCGTGCCCATTTCGCTGTTCGTGACGATCGAGCTCGTCAAGTACTGGCACGCCATCCTCATCAACGACGACCTGGACATGTACTACGACAAGACGGACACGCCCGCCAACTGCCGCACGTCCAGTCTGGTCGAAGAGCTGGGCATGGTCGAGTACGTCTTCTCAGACAAGACGGGCACGCTGACGTGCAACATGATGGAGTTCCGGCAGTGCTCGATCGCCGGCATCATGTACGCCGAAGACGTGCCCGAGGACCGGCGCGCGACGGTGCAGGACGGCGTCGAGGTGGGCGTGCACGACTTCAAGCAGCTGCGCCAGAACCTGAAGACGCACGAGTCGGCCGGTGCCATTGACCAGTTTTTGAGCCTGCTGGCCACATGCCACACCGTCATTCCCGAGCAAAAGGGCGGCGAGATCAAGTACCAGGCGGCATCGCCCGACGAGGGCGCCCTGGTGGATGGCGCCGTGTCGCTTGGCTATCGCTTCACGGCGCGCAAGCCGCGCACGGTCATCATCGAAGCCAACGGCGTCGAGCAGCAGTACGAGCTGCTGGCCGTGTGCGAGTTCAACTCGACGCGCAAGCGCATGTCGTCCATCTACCGGTGCCCCGACGGCAAGATCCGCTGCTACTGCAAGGGCGCCGACACGGTGATTCTGGAGCGGCTGAACGACGACAACCCACACGTCGAGGCGACGCTGCGCCATCTCGAGGAGTATGCCTCCGAGGGCCTGCGCACGCTGTGTTTGGCGGTGCGCGAGGTGCCGGAGCACGAGTTCCAAGAGTGGATGGGCGTCTTTGAGGCGGCCGGGACGACGATTGGCGGCAACCGCGCCGACGAGCTCGACAAGGCGGCGGAGCTGATTGAGCACGACTTTTACCTGCTGGGCGCGACCGCCATCGAAGACAAGCTGCAGGACGGTGTGCCCGAGACGATCCACACGCTGCAGCAGGCGGGCATCAAGGTGTGGGTGCTGACGGGCGACCGGCAGGAGACGGCCATCAACATTGGCATGAGCTGCAAGCTGCTGAGCGAGGACATGATGCTGCTGATTGTCAACGAAGAGACGGCGGCCGCGACGCGCGACAACCTGCAGAAGAAGCTCGACGCGATCCGCACGCAGGGCGAGGGCCTGGCCATTGAGATGGACAACCTGGCGCTGGTGATTGACGGCAAGTCGCTGACGTTTGCGCTCGAAAAGGACCTGGAGCGGCTGTTTTTGGAGCTGGCCATTATGTGCAAGGCGGTCATCTGCTGCCGCGTGTCGCCGCTGCAGAAGGCGCTGGTGGTCAAGCTTGTAAAGCGCTACCAGAAGCAGTCGATCCTGCTGGCCATTGGCGACGGCGCCAACGACGTGTCGATGATCCAGGCCGCGCACATTGGCGTGGGCATCAGCGGCATGGAGGGTCTGCAGGCGGCGCGGAGTGCCGACGTGTCGATTGGGCAGTTCCGGTACCTGCGCAAGCTGCTGCTGGTGCACGGCGCGTGGAGCTACCACCGGGTCAGCAAAGCGATTCTGTACTCGTTCTACAAGAACATGACGCTGTACCTGACGCAATTCTGGGTAGGTTTCCGTCACCACCCTTATTTTTTTTTTTTGTCTCCCACTGACAGTCTAGTACACCTTCCAAAATGTCTTCTCCGGCCAAGTCATCTACGAGTCGTGGACGCTGTCGTTCTACAACGTGTTCTATACGGTACTGCCGCCGCTGGCCATGGGCATCCTGGACCAATTTATCTCGGCACGCCTTCTCGACCGCTACCCACAGCTGTATGGCCTCGGCCAGCGCAACGAGTTCTTCAAGATCAAGATCTTTATCGGCTGGATCCTGACGGCCACGTACCACTCGATTGTGCTGTACGTCTTTGGCGAGCTCTTCTGGTACGACGACCGTATGCTCAGCAACGGCCAGACGGGCGGGCACTGGGTGTGGGGCACGGCGCTGTACGGCGCGGTGCTGTTGACGGTGCTGGGCAAGGCGGCACTGGTCACGAACAACTGGACCAAGTACCACATCATTGCCATTCCCGGCAGCATGGCCATCTGGCTGGGGTTTATTGCCGTGTACGGCACCGTGGCGCCGCTGATCCGCATCTCGACCGAGTACGAGGGCGTGGTGCCGCGGCTCTACTCGAGCGCCGTGTTCTGGCTGCAGATGTTCGTGCTGGCGATCATGTGTCTGTTGCGCGACTTTGCGTGGAAGTACGCCAAGCGCATGTACCGCCCGGAGACGTACCACCACATCCAGGAAATTCAGAAATACAACATCCAGGACTACCGGCCGAGGTATGGTCTTCCGGTCTCTCCCCCCGCGCCCCCAAATTGCTGTCGAGCCATTGTCGCTAACTGTCTAGAATGGAACAATTCCAAAAGGCGATCCGCAAGGTGCGGCAGGTGCAGCGGATGCGCAAGCAGCGCGGTTACGCCTTCTCGCAGGCAGACGAGAGCCAGACGCGCGTGCTGCAGGCGTACGATACCACCCAAGTGCGTGGTCGGTACGGCGAGATGGCGTCGTCGCGGACGCAGTAAGGGTGACGGGTGTGGAGAAGGAGACGATCGCGAGGAGGCAGAGGGAAAATATATGCAAGACGAGAGGCCGCCAAAGAATGGCCGCGCGTGTGGAGGCGGCGTGGAATCTAGGGCGTCGGTGTACCAAAGTTATTTTATATTTTTTGTTTTCTGTTCCTTCTTTTAAACTCTTTTCTTTTTGGGCGAGCTTGATCTCTATATTTCGATCCTATTTTCTTCTCTATTTTTCTTGTACAATGTAAAAAGGATCTCCTATTTTTGCAACGTCTGTATTCTGGACACGGGAAAAGAGGACAGGGGGCTATGTGGAATTTCAATAGTGCAATGATGGATCAGACAAAAATGTGCTCGAACTATCACACAAAATATCAACACAGTATAAACATGCTTTTGCGCTCTTAGCGGAGCAGCGCGAGAAGCGCAACAGGTGGTCGTTTATGTTGTCGGTGCCTTTGAGGTAACGTTTTGGCCATATTCTGAGCCCCGACAACATGTCATGCCATTTTCTTTCTCGCACACCTGATTGTCCAAAGTTAGGCGCAAGACAGGCACACAGTTGGCAACTTTGATTCTTGCCAATACTTCACTTTCATCTCCGTTAGAGACCAGTCTTCTATGCCTATCAAAAGAGACTGCATGGTCTCGACCACTGAATCAGCTATTGCAGTTTAGAGATAAAAAGTGGATCTTCCGTGTAAGTGGACGAGTCGTCGTCGACGTCTCTGTTCTTGTGCTTCAACTGACTGGCGTGTTGTGTGCAATGAGAGCCGTTTCCCACGCTAATTCAGGTTCCTATGACATCTCTTCCCCGCACGAGACAACATCTCCAAGTTGACAGCGGACGAGGCGAGAGGAGAACAGGAGAACGATTCCCGATAGAGCGTTAGTCTGGGGAGAACCGAGACGAGTCAAGCAGACAACTGTGGAGTCAATGTGCTACATCAGCCCTCCAGGAAATACATCACTGAATCAGTGATAGCCGTGGATCATGGGGTGCCATATTTGTATTAGGAGCACATATTCGCTCTTCATAGATTGATATATAATTTGTGCTGCTCATGTCGATGGTGAGCCGAATTGTTGAGCCGTGCTGAATTCGGCCTCGGAAAGCTGGTAGCCTAGACCATAATCCGACAGTTTCCTCGACTCCGCCGTCCTCATCATGGCCACCAACGGAACAAACGGAACTCATGCCGGCAACGTACCCCGCCGCCCCATCCGCATCGCCGGCTGCTCGGCGGGTGTCTACGACCGCAAGCGTGCATTGCACGACCTCGCCAAGAACGAAGACCCCGACGTGATCACGGGTGACTGGATGTCCGAGTGCAACATGACCTGGCGCGGCGCCGACAAGCAGGAGCGCCTGGCTGGCGGCGACACAGCCAAGGTGTCGTCTACCACTGGCTTCGAGCCGTCGTTTGTACAGAAGCTTGACCCTGCGATCCCTTGGCTGGCAAGGCGCGGCATCAAGGTGGCCGTCAACGCAGGCGCCAGCGACGTGGCTGGTCTTGCCGACGCTGTGCGCGGCCTGTGCACCAAGCACGGTGTTGCGCTCAAGGTCGGTTATGTCGACGGTGACGATGTCACAGAGGCTTTTATGAAGCTGTATAACAAGGGTGCGTTCTTCTTGAATTTTCTTCTTCTTTTTGGTCCTCGCTTCGCTCGAATTTTTATACTCGTAGTGCTGCTAACTCGTATCCTTGCTTCGGTCGGATGCTCGGATGCAGGCGAACCCTTCTTAAGCCTCCCGCAAAACAAGGCCATCCAAGACTGGGGCTTTCAACCTCTCGCGGCCCAGTGCTACCTCGGCGGATCGGGCGTCGCCGCCTGCTTTGCCGCTGGCGCTGATATTGTCGTCTGCGGCCGTGTCTCCGACGCCAGCCTTGCCGTCGGTGCCGCCATGTGGTGGCACGGCTGGACGCGCGAAACGCATGTCGACGAGCTCGCCAGTGCCCTCATGGTCGGTCACCTTATCGAATGCGGCACATACGCCACTGGTGGCTATTATTCCGGGTTCAAGGCGTTCGGCAGGAAACGCACAGATTTCGGGTACCCCATTGCCGCCATTGACCACAAGGGCGAGGCCGTCATCAGCATGGAGCGCGGCCGCCACGGCACGGTCAATACCGGCACCATCACGAGCCAGCTGTTGTACGAAATCCAGGGTCCGCTGTACTACAACTCGGACGTTACCGCGCAGATCGATGGCATCACCTTCACGCAGGTAGGCGACAACCAGGTCCACATCGGCGGTGTTAAGGGCCTGCCGCCACCGCCTACCACGAAAGTCGGCGTCACCGCGCACGGCGGTTACCAGGCCGAGTTTCACTTCTACATCACGGGGCTGGACGTGGCCGAAAAGGCCGCCATGATGGAAGAGCAGATCCGTGAGCTGATTGGCAATGATATCGACAAGTTTTCGGCGCTGAAATTTCAGCTCGCGGGAGGCGTGCCGTCTGACCCGGAGTCGCAGGAGGCGGCCACTGTTGATTTCCGCGTTGTCGCCCAATCGCCGCATGCCGACCTCTTGTCCGGTGACATGGTCGGCGCCGACCGCGGCACGTTTGCCAGCTACTGCATCGAGAACTTGTCGCAAGGATACCCAGGTAGCACCATGGCGATCGACATGCGCGCATCGGTCGGCCGGCCATACTTTGAGTACTGGGCGTGCCTCATGTCGCAGGAGTTCGTGACGGAAACGGCGCACTTACCTGACGGGACGGCCGTTGTTATTCCACCGCCAGACCCGGCCACCACACGGGAGTATGCGCGCGAACAGCCCAGCGGCGACACGGCCAACCCCGTCACCGACCTCGTCGCGGCTTTTGGCCCAACGACACGTGCGCCTCTCGGTTACGTCGTGCTGGGTCGCTCGGGTGACAAGTCGTCGAATGCCAACGTCGGCTTCTTTGTGCGCAACGATGACGAATGGGACTGGCTGCGGACGCTGCTGAATGTGGGTAAGCTGCGTGAGTTGCTCGGCAAGGACGACATCGGCAAGCAGATCGACCGCTTTGAGCTGCCGAAACTGCGTGCCGTCCACTTCTTGTTGAAAGACCATCTGGACAGAGGCTTCAACTCCACCACCGGCTTCGACAGTCTTGGTAAGAATCTCTGCGAGTACCTCCGTTCCAAGCACGTCGACATCCCCAACAAGTTCCTGGAGCGTGGGCGTATTTGAGACGATGGGTGTCTGTAGACTCCGTAGGATCAAAAAACGTTTTAACAAATTCGAAATAGTTCGTTTCTCTGCTTGAATATCAAACCCAAAATACGAATCACAAATTGTATTTGTATCATGTTGCCACATCGTAGAACTGGCCTGTTTTTTGGAGTCTCAGCCTCATACTGGTAGATAGTCCAAGCCGGATTCCATGGGCATGGCCATGGGCATGGAAAGTGGCTGTACTGGCCGTGCAGGTGACGACGGCGATGTTGTCGTCGACATTGTCGTCGACGGTGATACTGTTTGTGAGGCTGGCTGTTCGCCTATAAGCGTCTGCGTCTGCCCATCCTCATTCAGAAGCAGCGATTCATCAATCAGCCTGGCCATCTCTGGAAACCGCGCCCGAAACGCGTCGCCCACTTCCCAGTTCGCTAGTTTGGCAATGTGGTGTGCAAACACAGGGTTGACTATGTAGTCGTTGACGTCGCCATCGCCATCACCGTCTCTGATGAAATTGTTGCTGCTGCCCGGCGCACTTGGCGTCACAATCACCACCATCGACGGATCGTATGGCCAGCGGATCTGTACGCTGGTGCCATAGCTGGCTGCAAAGTGGTCAAGAGTGATCTCAGGATGGACGACGAGGTAGTCGCGTGCAGCAGGCCTGCCGATCAGTGACAAACAATTAGCACAGGACGTGCCGCATCATAACGAGAGGGAAGGGGAGGTTACCAAGGAATGCGGTCGATCCACGGCGGATGCTCGATGGTGCGCTGGGCACGGGTAGGTCGAAGCCAGACGGGGACGCTGTTCCAGCTGGGTTCGTCGAGGAGAACGAACCACTGAAGCGAGTGTGAGTAGTGGGAGAGCGACAAATAAGGTACTAGAATAGCAGAGCCAAAACAACGGAGACACCAAAACACACCTTTAAAAGATGCGTCATCAGAAAGTGGACGGCAATTTGCTTGGGTAGCGTGTCAAGCTCGGAATATGTGCGCACGACGTCACTGGCGAGCCTCGAAACCTCGTCTGTGCCACGGCGACGGCTGTCGAGGAGAGGTGTGATGTCAGGGGCCGAGCTTGTTGACGCGGAGGTGGCCGACGGAGACGCCAGGGCCACGGCCCGGCGCTGGACGTCGACAAACCCCTGGAAGAGCTGGTCGGCGATGCTCGCCGGCGGACTGTTCAGCGGCGGCGTCTTCCACAGGGGGCAGGACGGAGAGGTCGCTGCTGACGCTCCATCGACCGGTTCGGATGCTTCGGCGGCCCTTTGGCGTAGCATGGCATTCTCTGCTGTCACGGCATCCAGTCGGCCCCTGACGACACTCAGCTCCTGGCTCTGCCGCTCGAGGACCCGCGTCAGCGTCGACACCTGCTCCGACAGGTTGTGGATGGTGGACCGCGTCCGGTCACGCAGTGCCTGTTGGGCCCGCCGGTCGCGGGCGCGCTTCTTGTCGAGTGGACGACTGCCTTCAGGTGGTGGAACCCGGCGACCTATTCCTCTCTTGTGTTTAGGGGGTTCCGCCGGTGCTTGTGATTGCGGCGGTGCTGTCGCCGCCACCGGTGACGGGTTCATCAACCCCGGGTCGCCGTCGGTCGCGGGCAACGTCATGATGTGACGATGCGATGCTGAGTTGTTTACTTGCAATTTCTGAGAAGTGGGCCGTCAACAGACTGCGCTCTATGTCGTACTTGTTCTTTCCGTTTTCAATGCCGTCCACAAACGGCAACATCGCCATGCCCCTACGACATGCTACACAACTTCTTGATGCTGTCTCGCACCTGCCCTCTGCATCTCCACAGCATTGTGTGGGGTAGGAACTACCAAGCTACTGCACTTTTTGGGAAGGCGCCGCTTGGTCTCGCCTGCCCCGGATTATCATTACCGGTCATTTTCACAAGTCGAGAGGGGAGGCTGCTAAGGAAGGTACCGCAATAGCGGCTTCTTTGTCAAGTACGAGTGCAGTCACGAGTCTCGTGATTTCGAAATCATTCGTCTGTAGTGCAACGATAACTCCGTAAGCCCAACTGAAGAGGATCGAAGATCGACAATCGCTGCAATCATTCGAGATAAGGACCAAGACAATCACCAACGGCTGCCCATCTGTTATCTGCGTTCGGCGTCAACCTCGGCTAGTCTCGATTGGCCATTCATACTTTGACATTGGCAGCTGCGACTTCGTCGTCGTAAGTATGGAATGCCTCGTATATCCTTATGGGTTATCGATTTGAGGCAAGCGATGATCGGCGGCGGCCTTCGATGAAAAGGCCGTTTTACTTTCGGCATCCGATATGATATCGATGTCGGACGACCATCGTTTCGATTTGCGTTGAGCCACAGGCCCACAGCCCAAAGGCGATCGTTTTCACCATGGAGGATTACAATAATTGTGAGGCTCACAGTTCTCGTGTAAGACGGATGGAAGGTGAGCTGCACGGTGTGAGGTGCCGATGTCGGCGTCTCCTCGGTTTAAGATGCATGCGCATGGCCACTGTCGCAAGGCTGGCCCGTCAAGAGAACAGAAGAGTCATGCACAGAGCAACAATGGCCTGAGACTTGCCATGCAGGACGAGTCCCGGCCTTGTCCAAAATAAACATCGGGCACAAGAGGTGATGGTGAGTCAGGATCCATGTTTCTCCAGACAGTGCTCTTGTTATCAAGGCCAGGGAAGAAGGCGATATCGGGCGGAATGGCGAAAGGCAATTGCGTATTTGCGATAGAGGACCTCGACAAAGACAGAGACGAAAGCCGCAAAGGGATGACTCTTCAGCCTTATCATTGACGAGTGAAGGAAGCGAATGCGGCAGACGAAGACTAAAGAGGTTGGCGGGAAAAGTCGGGAAATCCAAATTGGCAGCGAGGATTCGGTCCAGCCATTGATAAGGCCAGCAAAGAAACGGGACAGCTCGAGAGGACATTGGAGACAAGGAGAGACAAGGAACGATGAAGAATAGGAGAGGGCGAGAAAGAAAAATAGAAATAAAAGACCCACGGTTTGACTGGCTTTTGCGTCTTACTTCGTGACGTAAGAGAAGGGGACATTTCGAGATGTCATGAATGTCTGCCGTCTCCAGTCCCTGGCCTAGACGTTTCTGGTTTGTTGACCAGGGTTGAAGACACCAATCGGCCCTCTTGTTGCTTGCCACATGTATGGCCAGGGGAAAGGAAAAAAATCATTATTTCATTGCCTGCCACGAGGAGCGCGACGCGAAGCCGTCATTGGCAAACCATAAGTCGGGACAGGGAGGTAAATGGCAACCTGCTTTGCTTGGTAGTTTGTACGTAAAGTGCATACGTCGGCAGACAAACATGTAAGGGAGATGCCCCTCGGGTCGCAATTGGTCTCTACGAAGGAATGAGGGCTTTCGACGTCGATCGAGAGCTCTCCCTTTCGGAATGTCGATTGTAGGCACCATGTGGTTGGCTTGTTTGTGTGTGTCTCGGCTGCATGACAGTGCCGACATTCGTGCCAAGTATTCGCCTACTTGTTCCAGACCAAGCAACACCAGAGCGTCTTAGTTTTCAATCTAAAGGTGGTGTGTTTTTTATGTTCGTTGCCAGTGGTAGCGTGATCCAACCGTGTTCATGGCGTGTTTGATGGAAAGTGATCAGCAAACGTCGTAGCGTGTCAATTTGGCGTTTTTTGTTTTTCATTTTTTTAAATGAAAGATGTAGGATTTTGTTATTTTTGTCGATTGGCGTGTTTGTCGATTGCATGAATGGCGGATCGACAACAAAGAGCAATATACAAAGGATATGTACGACATCATATCGAGATGGACTGCCGCAAGTGTCTGGACCAAATTCTCGGCAAAAGAAAGTAAACAAGCAAGACACAGCTTTTCGGTCGTGGGGGTCACATATGCTCACTCTCATCCGTCGCCCTGTCACTACCAACAACTTGTCGAGGGTTGTGCGATAGGAGAATAAAATGGCATACCAGGGCATGCAACATGCAAGTGTTTCACATGAGGCAAACTGTCTTGTCTGTTGTCGGAAGGGAACATGGCGGAAGATGTCGTTATCTCGATTGCCCGCGACGACATACAAAGATCCGCACAGGCGACAAGTCGTGCAGTGGATGCTCCAGGTGGAACCGACCATATGCATACAATGGCGGAAGAGGGACTGAATCCGACGTACGACATTTTATGGTACGAATGTGCCGAGCGGACACGGGCTGCGATGCATATGCGAAACCATGGAAAAGGGCTGGTACCATTACACAGTGTGGGTTGCGTTGTAAACCAAGCCGATGATTACCGCGCGGCTTTACAACTTGGACAGCAGGGACACCGATCAACAAAAATAGAGGACTTGAAACGGAATAGAACGGACAGGGAGATTGTGGGATGGGGTTCGGCGACCCATTCCTCCATCTTTGGCGGACGATAACTCTTGACTAGAGCAGCGTATCGCTGTGAGTAGCAGGACAACCGCAAAGGGCAAGCCGAAGATATTGTTTGTTGCCATTTTTGAGAGGGGAGAAGAGATCGCCTGTTGACAACAGCGATGGGCCAATGAAACACGAAAATCAGACAATGGTCATAAAAGTCGACAGCCGCAACTACAAGGGATGATGGCAGATTCGACATGAATTGTCCAATGTTGCATGGTCAACTGACTCCCAAAGGGAGAATTGTGAAATGGAAATCATGTACGGACTGCTCGGTAGAGAGTAGTGGCCTACTCCGTAACGTTTGGCATGAAAAGCAAAGGCCTTGGCGACGTCCCTGTGCCTCTTCTTGCGTTACTCTTTGCTTCTATTGATAGCAGCCCCCTCTTTCTGGGATTGTCTCAATACGGCAGGTCCGGGATATGTGCATATGCAATATAGAGGACGTCGACCTCGAGAAGGGACAAGATACAACGTCGTAAATTGATTGTCCTCTACTTGTCGCCCACTTTCTCGCCCACCTGCAGCTGGACCTTTTCGGTCATTTTCAAGGAGGGTTGCATCAATGCCAATCAACAAGCCTGTCCTTTCCCCCCGAAGGACCCCCTCTCTTTTCATATGATTCTAGATTAAGCTGTCCGATCACACTCGTTGGATACGCTCGACAGCCGCGATCACAGCGTTCGCTGCGATAAGGTCTTTTATGTGCATACGAGTAAGAAAATGCACCCCCCACGTCTTTCCTTGACAGCCAATGCCCTGCCAGTAAGTCGGGCACTGAAGACACATCGAATGAAGCGGGGGAATCGATGCGATGCTGCAGGCAGACGCGGCACGGGAAGCACGGAGGGTGGGAAAACAGGATGGATGGCAGGGATGGCAGGGATGGCAGAGGATGGAAAGAGTTGGAAGAGGGCAGCCTTGGGCAACCGTTGCCCTGGATGTAATTTTACTTGATGGCTTCGACTTGACAAGACGTGACGCCGTCCGGAGAGACGAAGGAGCCAGAGCTTCTCTTCCTTTTGTGTCGTCTACTCTCAGGGCAGGCAAGCCCAATAATGGAAAACAAATTAGACACGGCGCGTTGCAAGTCGGTGGGGGCGAGTTGTCTGTTGGTGATCCCGGAAAACAAGCACAGAAAATAATGGAATGAGGGAGAACGCCCGTTATGCAGACAGTGCAACCTGAGCTGCAGCTGTGCGGCGTGACAAGAGTGGTCCAAAACCAGGGGTGCATCTGTATGCTGGTGATTGTGGACGACTGTGTGAAAGACGTGTGAAATCTCTTTGGCCAATCCCTGCAGCTGGCCATTGATTCTTTTTTTTTTTTTTTTTTTTTTTTTTTTTTTTTGTTTTCAACTTATTGGCCCTCGCTCATCCATTTGTGCAAATTCATCTAAAACCCATCGCGAAAATTCTTCCGAATGTTTACTTGCAAAGCTGAAAGTGAAAACGAAAATACACTCAGGCTCGCATGAGAAGAAAACTCTTCTTCGTTGGCGGCTTTTGGTTCTTGTGCTGTACCAATCCAAACAGGTTGCTGCAGCGCGTGGCCGCCAACGATGGAGACGGGAGACTGGACTGGAGACTGGACTGGGGACTCATGGCCCTTGCGGCCGCCCCATGCCGATGGACCGGGAGCCACCCGGAGTACGTCGTATAGTAGGAGGCCTGCAAGGGATCGAGGTGAATCGCTTCTTGGATCGTGAATGAAAAAATTTTAAGCCCTCGTCTTTTCGAAATCCTTGACTGTCTTGGATTTTATTTTTGTGAACGTTGAGATCACTCCACCGTCTGCCGGCCTCGTGTGGATCTTTCCTAGCTGCAAATCCGCATGGCATTACTACTCTGTAAATATGGAGAAACGTGCTCGGCTATTTTCGATTCGTCTTGTCATGAACCAACGGTGAGCACTCAATACAGGCCTGCACTTTGTCCAAAGCGACGGCGTGCGCTCAGGGCTGGCCAGCAGCAACCAAGAGAGCAAAACCTGCACGGTCGGACTGGTTCGTCTTCCCAAAGCGGAGAAATTCTGCAAAAGTAGTGAGCAGACGAGGCGAGTGAAAGAATCTTCGAGGAAACGAGAGAATTCCTGGGGATATGTCGGCACGAAACAAAGGCAACTCAACGGAAACGAGGCAGCAAGCAGTGCTCCGAGATCAGCATCAAACCGGTCGAAACATTGTAGCAGGCAACTGGGCCTCTGGCAACCCAGCGTTGATATCGACAGACGTCTTCCTGTCAGTGCTTGTTGGTTGCCTGTGAGCCTGTCTGTCGCTAGATGTTGTACTGTGGTGTCAAGAGCCCATCGGTCCTTCCTGCTTTCGCCATAGCTGCCCCAAATGGGACAAGGGCGTGGCGCCTTCCTGCAACGGGGTTCGCGTCACCACAGTCACCGCCGCCCGTCCCACACGTTTCCACAGGGCTGGTTCATATTTCGTACGGAGTATCTGGTAATATGAGCAGTACGAATGTATGAATGTATGAATGTGTCGTTGCCGTTGTGTTTTCCTCGCGCGTCGCCATTGACTATGTGAAAATTCTTCGAAAACGCCATCACTTCCTTCCTCCCTGGCTGACGCTGACACCTCTTGTCCCCACCTGCTTTTGCCATATCGTTGCAAAGCCATCGTTCCTTCCTCCCCAGGCTCACTCACCAAATTCCGTACACCGTGCCAGCCGTCTTTTCCTACTGTGTACGCTGTGCTTCGATTGACGAGCAATTGCGCAATCAACCCTCTGCCATAGTATGACGACGTAATGAATCCGTTTTGTTTTGCCTTGGCTACTTTAGCGCCTAACACGGTGTATCTTACGTGTGATCATGCTTCGAACGCCAGGCCGTCTGACTCTGTCTTCGTTAGTCTGTGTTCGCGTTTCTTCCATTGGCATTCTTTTCTGCTCTGTAATACTTCTGTACGCCCTTCACCTTCTCTTTACACAGTGTCCACCGGGCAGGACGGGAAGTGACTCGTGGAAAAAGCGCGGCCGCCCTTGCCTTGGCCTTGGCCCTGTAACCGCGCCCTTGCGCCCTGAAACGGTCCGGGTGTGCGGTACCCTGACCACCGCTCCTAAGATACCTAAAAGTACGATTTACTCACATCATCGTTTTCGCCCATCGTTACTTTTCCCTTCTCCCTTTCCCCTTCGAATCTTCGGTCCCTTCAACCTTCCCCTCTTCTCCCTTCTCCCAACGGCTTCCTCGGCCTCCAACGGAAGTCTGTGACTTGGACAAACAGTGTCTGCCTACGTATGATATGACTGCAGTGAAGTCAAACACGTCAACCAGCCGGCAACAGTTGCCTCCTTCCTGGCCTCCTTCCCTGAATGACTAACAAAACTCCCAAGTCGGGAACGTGGACGGCGCTTCTAGACCCTACTTGTTTGTACTCCCGTATGTCGTACCGATTTGTATCTTGCTTGACAACCCAGTCCTCAGTCTGGGCCAGACCCGTCTCTTTATCCACTAGGCCAAGATCCCAGTCAACAACCTGCTCACAATGTCATCCACAAACTATCCATAGTCCTGACCACAGCTGTTGACCACCATGCGCTGCTACGCGCTGCCATTGGCGATCTCAGCTGTCGACATTTGCTGGAGCATGACTTGTCTCCGCTTTCGGATCGGCGTAGCGTCTCTGGGCAGAGGTGTGTGGTGACCCTGGCGAGCCTGAGGTCACACTCGACCTTCGGGCCACTCACAGCAACGTATGGTCCCCAATACCTCCACCATCGCCAGACATGTCCATACACAAAGTGACTTTTCAACCGTATACAACCCACACAAAAGAGGCAGGTACCAGCCTTTGTCGCGACTGTCAGAAGATGATATCTTACGTGTCTTACCGCTCGATACCGCAGGCTGCCCCTCCAAGGCAGGGACGGTCCATAGATTTGACGTCTAAGCAGGAGCGACTGCGCCGTTGCTTGTAGAGCTACAAAGTACCGCCTCAAAGCCCTGCCTTTCGAGCTACGTTTTGCGCCATGCGTTTTTACGTGCCTCTTTATTGACGCCTTTGCGACCGTAGGCTTATTTATTTTTAATTGTTTTGGGGGTCCTCGCCGCGATCACGCAAGAACCAGTCGTCCAGACGTCGCCCGCGGCTCTCTGATCTCGCCTTTTTCGCCGCGTCATGCTCCATTATGTACCTCGTGGTGTGGCTACTTGTTGCTGAACAGAGTATATCACTTCCCAAGGTCCCTCGTTTCGTCTTCGGCTTGTCTTTTTTTTTGGATTTTCTTTTGCTCCGTCCTGTGTCCTCCACTTTGTGTTTCTCAATCGACTCTTCTTAACTCCACCAACTCTCAATCGCCAGTCTCAAAAGCAAGGCTCCTTCCCTTCTCCATCCCGGCCAGCCGCTCTTTCCCTTGCTCACCTCCAACCGCTTGCTCGCTCACCTCGAATCCCGCACCAGCAATCTACGTCATTGCCTGCGGTCTTTCCAAATCTCCGTGCCTCCTTTCAACTCCGGTCCTTTGCTCTTTCCCGCCGGTTGCGCCAGCTAGTCAACAAACAAAGAGACAAAAAGCATCCATTCCCCTGAGTCTGCTTTCATTCGGACATCACCACTTCTTCACGCTTATCAATTCCCTTTCCCACTGATATTGCACGCCACATTGTGCTGGTCGTCTACTGCCCACTTTCGTCCACTCCCCTCGTCCACCCCCTCAGTCCGATAATCCAGGCACAAGGCCCGACCACCACACCATCTTCCGCCAGCTGAGATACAAAACTACTTTGCATCAACCACGGTATCCCTCGCGTTCTCCAGTCTTCGGATCCCAATACCTTTCTCGACAAGTGATCAGCCACCGTCTCGGAACGCCCACGCATACCAATCTCTCCCATTTGTGCCCCCCTCCCGTCCTGGACGCCTCTGCTCTTTTTGTCTATCACACCCTTTAACCAGCCCTTTGAACATTACTTTTCTTGTCGTCTGCTTCTTCGCCACTTACTTTTACCTCCTCTTCTCGTGGATCACCAGTACCCCTGGCCAACTTTCTACCAGGGGTTCCCTTTACTCCTCTTTTTGGTGGCCTTCCCCGCCCCCAATCTCGAGACATCGTCGCTTTTGCACCGGACGCCAGCTCGTGCCATCCATGAATACCCACCTGACACCCCCCGTTTTCCGATATCCGCTTGATTTACCCACCACTACCACTGTGCTCTGTGCTCCTATTTCTTCGCACTTTCCTCTGCGACGTTTCGGCTGGATTTTGGTTCTACTTTGGCTCGTCCGCCATCCGCTATCTATCGCCAGAACGACTTCGCTTGCTTCGACGAGGCCTTTGATCAACACCCTTTACACCACCATTACCACCACCATCCCTGGTGCATATCAATCCCAACAGCCGAGATAGCCTGCGACTAAATTCCACAGGTAAAACGAATACAACACAAAACAACACATCCACGGAAAAGGAACACGGATGACAAGGCGCACAAGCGAGTTTTGCACAATTTACGACAATCTACGGAGTACATGACTATCTGAACCAGCCTGCCAAGGATTCCCCACGATTTTTATCACGACCAGGGTCTCATTTTCTTCCACGGCGCTAAAGCCCTTTCTTTATCTGTGGCATTCCTCTCTTGTCCCCTCTTATTCTGGTCCCATTTTCCTGTCCCATCTGACCTGTCTGCGTCACTTGGGCACTTGGGTATTGGACTATTTGACTCTCGTCGTTCGCCGTCTCTTGTCGTTTTGTCTCTTTCGGCCCGTCCTGGTTATAAACGTCAGAAAAGCCAAGCAGAACCCTTTCACCTTCCTTGTCAACACAAAGACCAATCAGCCAATCAACTCTACCACGCAACGGGAATACCGCAGCACCAGCATCCCACGCACAAATCAACCCCCCCCCCCCCCCCCAAACCAGCTGAAGGGATTAAACCCCCATCTTACACCCCATTCACATCCCGAACAGGCAAGCGAGTAAATGCAGAAAATTTTCTTGCTGCAGCCCAGTTTGACATTTCGCCACCTGCGATAACACATACAAACCAATTTGACATTTTTTCCCTCGTCATTTTGTGTTTTTCTCACGTTTTTTGCTTTGCCGTCAGTTATTACTCACTCGTTACCCACCATCTCCGTTTCTCACCATATAACTTCGCTGTTTATTGTCTTTCTTCTTACTCTCTTACTCTCGCCTAAACATATTCATCTCTTTATAATTTTCACCTTTGCATATCATATAAGAGAGACAGCGTTTCTCTCATCACGACTATCTCAACCCGCCAATCTAAAATATACGACAACTGACACCTGACCACATTCACTGCGGTACGACGTTTTACTTCCGACTTTTGATTATCGTCACACGCACGGTCAAGCACAACAGACAACGTTGTGACTCCGCGCCAGCCGCCAGCAAAACACAATCTCTCACAACGACCTCACACAACTTACAAAATGCACCACTCCCGGCGGAAATCTGGACACGGTTCTATGACCGATGTCCGAAAGGCGGCGTCCACTTCCGACTCCAAGCACAAAACGTCCTCCAAGCATGGCAACAGCAGTAGTAGCAGTCGCCGGACAGGCAGCTCCTCGCAACCCAGCTCAAAGTCCAGCAAGTCGGGATCTTCGAGCCGGGACGCAGAGAAGCTACGTGACGACGACTACTGGTACGACGACGAGAGGGAAAGCTTTCCGCAGTTCTGGTTAGTGACAACGCAACTCTACACACGACCGTGCCCCCTCGCTTTTTTCCCCTCTTTCCTTGGCTCTCGTAGCCGGTATGCCCCTTTTGGTCAACTTGCACCGGGCACCTGACGCACAATTTGCCTCAAAGGCGTGCGACGTGGCCGCACTCTATCAATGTCCTTCGTCCTGTGTAAATGGAATACCCCGCTGACTGACTTTCTCAATATAGCATGACCTGCGAGAAGCAATTTGTCGCGAAGGATGACCGTTTTCTCTACTGTTCAGAAGCGTATGTCTCACCTTGCCGTACAACATGCATTTACACAGGCCATGAACCGAATGCGACGACGCAGCTAACACAACACCATTTGCAGTTGCCGGGACTACGACCAAGAACACGGCGCCAGCGTGAGCGCAAAAAGCTTCAAGGACACCTATGCCAGCAGCAGGATGTACTACACGGAGGCCCAGGAGCCGCGCGACATTATCCCCCGCGCGTCACCCTCCCGGCCCAGCTCCACCTACTTCTCGCTCCCGCCCACCCCCGCGAACATGTCCTCCACTGTTCCTGCCACGACGTCCTCCGCCATGGCCGCGCTGCGTTCCTTGTCTCTGCGCGACGCCAGCCCCCCATCGCCAACACTGGCGGCCTCTTCCTCTGGCATCTGGCCCTTCTCTACGCGCAGCAGCGCCACCAGCCCGAGCACATCCTATACGCAGCCGTCGGCGGTGTATGCATCGACGTATGACCAAGGTCAGGGATACTACCGCAGCTCCGGTGCCCCCAACTACTACACCTACGGAGCGGGCGTATCTGGGTACCTGACAACAGAGCGGCCATTGCCTCCTCGGCGGCCCAGCAGCTACGCTCGCCCGAAGAGCATTGAGCTCGTGACGCCTCTACTTGGACAATGATTTATTACAGTGAGAAGTGGCGCATGCAGAGCATGCCCACTACTGACCCGATCTTACGGCTCAGCTCAGTGCTTGCCGGGTAAGCGAGAGTCGAGTATTGAAGGTGTATGGGAGAGTCGGGTGACGCCAACGGGTGTCCAATCCGCCCTCGTACCGCTCAGTCACCGGTGACAATAGTGGTGGGGAGAGGTTACCAATCTCCTCGCTCAGCCCCGCCTTGGCACCTCATTCTTACCTCATCATCGACTTCCTTTCGGCGTTGCGCACTTCTCTTTTCGGCATACACCAGGCGGCACGACCGATTCATACAGTCCGGAATCGCAATCGGACATGATCAAAATTGGGGTAGCAGAGGAAGTTATTTTTATCTTCTTATTTCTGGAACTTTTCTTCCCGCGCGTGGGAATCAACTGCATGGGCATACGGTGTTTCGTATTTTCTCTGATTTGGTCTTTTTCATTTCTATCTTCATTCAGCTGAGCCGCATCTCACCCAGCTGGTGCGATATCTATTACCCACCTCATTATAGCTTTGTTGTCACATTTATTGTTTACATCATATTTCCTGTCTTTGGTATCATATGGAGCTAGGAGCGAGCTGGATTTGGGTGCATTTGACGAAAACATTTTCAATTTCATTTCTTTGTCAAGTAATTTTTGACTACGGTATGACAGTTGGGCGAGCAAATGGCTTATTTAATGGAATGCAATTTATTCATATGAAATGGTATATGGGATATCATCTTGGATTTGATGGGAATGAGATCATAGGTGAGGGCTGGACTGTCTTTAGGCAGCACGCATAAAATGTCAATTTTTATTTTTAAAAAAAACTTCTTTTAAACTGTACATGTTAGATATCTTATCCTTTCGTTTAATGCTTTACGTCCCACCAGACGAATACGGTTTACAGGGGCCAGAATAGAATAAATGATAAAATGAAAATCGAGTTGCAATGTACGCGACAAAAGATATTGCAAATATCTCTTAAAGGCATTTTGAAAGGTCGAGGAAGAAGAACGCATACACTGCGTCACCTGAATTGTATCCAAAGTAGAAATTAAAAACCAGAAACAATAATGAAGCAGCAAAGAAAAAGAAATGCAGCAGTGCGTTTTGGGAGGTTTGGCTTTTTTTTTGTCTATTTGAAAAAGAAACGAAGGGAGAAGTAGACAAAGTGAACGACAAAAAAATTGAGACCTTTCCCCCAGTATATTTTATTGGTTTTTTTGGTATGATTAAAAAATGATTGAATGAGATATGAAATGGAGAAAAAATGGCTAGGACAAAAAAATTAGTTGAAAGGTTGTAAAATATGTACTGGCTCAGAGATAAACCAAACCTCTTCTCACCTTTTTGGCTCTCTCATCAGCCCCTCCCGTTCGGACTTGAAAACATCATGTGTTGTATGTACAATATGATGGTTTATATAACGACCATTATCTCATACCTTCCCATCAAAAATAAAACTAATCAAGAAAAAAAAAGCCAAGTCCATGCCCATGCTCATGCTCAGGCGATTGTTGTCTTGTATTTTATTCATTCTTTTCTTCGTCTTTTCCCTAAACGTGGCACAGCTGGCCGTTCTGGGTGGGGATGCCCTCGACCTGGCCGGTGATGTACCAGTCCTCGCTGCCGACGGCGGTGGGGCCGTAGAAGAGGCCCCAGGGGTCGATCTTCTGCTTGTAGGCGTAGAGGCGGGCGTAGTTGTCGGCGCCGTAGAAGGACTGCTGGAAGTTGGGCTCGAGAATGTCGGCCTCGCTCATGTAGGCACCCGCCCCGGGACAGGTCGCGCGCCAACGGGCCTGCCAGTCGTTGGTCAGCTTCAGGCAGGCGGCAGCAATGGTGGCGGTGTCGGCGTCGGCGGCCCAGGATATGGCCTGGATGGCGTGCAGGACGGTCTTGCGCCAGGCGGGGTTGACGGCGTTGTCGGGGTAGCCGCCGGCCGGGTTGGCGGCAATGTTGAAGGCCAGGATGGTGGAGCCCTGCTCGACGACGTAGCGGATGGCGGCGACGGTCTCGTTGAACAGCGTGGCGTTGCCCGTGGCCGGCTCAAAGTTCTCGCGGGGGAACAGACGCGAGGCGGTCTTGAGCGTGGAGGCGCCGACCGTCTCGAGCGGGAAGTGCAGGTTCCAGCCGTCGTAGAAGTTGTCGTAGTTGAAGTACTCGAGGGCGTTGACGGACACGCCCAAGGCAGCCCAGTCGGCGAAGAGAGGGGCCAGCAGCGCCTGGAGCTGGGCCTGGCTCAGCTTGGGGGCGAAGAAAGGCGCCATGGCGAAGAGGTAGGTGCCGGGGGCGATTTGGATGATGTCAAAGTACGAGTAGGTGCCGGCATCGGTGAAGACGGGCAGGTACTTGAAGTAGACAGTCATGGCGTCCCAGAAGACGTCCGCCGTGATGCTGCCGCCGCTGACAATGGTGAAGGTGGCGACGGAGACCTGCAGCTTGGGGTAGGCCTTGACGGTGACGGAGGTGACGACACCAAAGGTGCCGCCGCCGCCACCCCGCAGGGCCCAGAACAGGTCGGGGTTGGAGGTGGCGCTGGCCGTCACGAACTGGCCGTTGGGCAGGACGATCTCCATAGCGAGGACCTGGTCCGCCGCCATGCCGTAGATGGAGGACAGGGGCGAGTGGCCGCCGCCGAGGATGTAGCCGCCCATGACGCCGACGGTCTTGCCCTCGCCGCCGACGACGCTGACGCCGTACTTGTCGGCGGCCTGGTACATCTCAAAGGCCTGGACACCGGCGCCGAGCTTGAAGGCCGGGCCGGAGTAGCCGTTGAGTTTGAGCTTGGAGAAGAACTGGATCTGCTTCAGGTTGTGGGTCCAGATGGAGAGGGCGCCGGCACCGGCGGACTTGCCAATGAAGTCGTGGCCGGTGTTCTTGACGACGAGGCGCAAGTTGGCATTGCGGGCGAAGTTGACGGCGAGCTGGATCTGGGCGACATTGGAGGCGGAGACGGCGTACGAGGGGTAGCCGCCGAGGGTGCACTGGTCGGAGGGGGTGTCGGTGGGCACGCAGGTGAGGCCCTGGTAGAGCGGCCACATGACGGAGGTGGGGTCGTCGGCGTGCATGTAGGAGTCGTTGGACCAGTTGTTGGTCACGAAGGCGCACCGGGAGGCGCTCTGGTCGTTCCAGTTGGTGTAGCAGGGCGAGGCCAGGGGCACGGTCTTGATGAGGGCGCCGGGGCCGAGGAGGAGGCCGAAGACGTCCCAGACGATACTGATGGGGTAGAGACGGTTGCCGGGTATGACCTTGCACTGGCTGCTCCGGCGGCAGTTGCTGCTGCGCTTGTCGACGGTGGAGGCATCGTCAAAGTCGAACAGGTCGATGCCGGTCAGGTTGAGGGACGTCAGGTTGGCGATGATGCTGTCGGTCAGCTGCGCGGTCTCGGACGTGAAGAGGTTGACCGTGGAGTTGGAGCTGGTGGGGGGGACGTCGGCCGCGGCAGGCGCGACGGTGTCCTCGTTGGCGGCTGCGGCATGTTGTCAGCAGGAACAGGAAGGCGCGAGAGTGTGACGGAGTATGCGGGACGATGCGGGACGATGCGGGACCCGTGGGCAAAATGCGATGTGGTGAGGCAAGTGCAGCGTCTGTACCTGCAGTAGCGGGTGGAGAGAGGAAGGCGCGATTGGTGGAAAATACAAACAAGACAAAAGGACAAAGCAAAACGAAACAAAACAGAGATAAACAACGCCGCAAATAACAAGGCTGAAAGGATGAACAGCCTTTTCAGGCTGTGTGACGGAGCACGGGAAGTCGAGCCAAAACAAAAAAGCGAACCAAAAAAAAATAGTAAAAACAAAGAATGGAAAGAAGGGACAAAAAAGAAAACAGCCGAATGCACTTACGGATGGTCGTGTTGTCCACAGTAAGGGACTGTGCGCTGGCAAAGGGCGCGAAGAGGGCGGCGGCCGCAAGAGCGGCTACGCGCAGACTGGGGGCCATCGGAGCGGTTGGTGATGGATGAAGAGAGAGGGAGAGAGACAAAAGGAGGAGAGAAGGAGAAGGGGGAAGGGGGAAGAAATACAAAAGGGAGTCGAGGCACAAAAAGACTGCCAAGAGCTCGAGCAGACCCTGTGCTTTCTGGCGGGAATAGCAAAAAGGGCAGCAGGTGGACAAAAGAGTGACTGGAGAAGGGGAGACGAGGGAAAGGCGACGGGGGAATGGGGGAGGGCCGACGAAGATCCTTTCTGCAAAAAGATTTCCTGGATTCTTGGCCCCGAGACCTGGGACGGGCCAGGCTTATATGTCAAATCCACGTGGCAATGAAGAGGGAGGGCACGGGGACGGTCTCTCGGAGTGGCACCAGAAAAGAAAACGAAGAAAAGAAGAAAAGAAGAAAAGGGAAAAGGGAAAAAAAGAGAGAAAGGACGGGCGGTCGCGACGGGTCTGCCGCGTGCCGCGTTCCCACCTGCCTGGTTTCGATGGGGAAGACTAGAAAGAAAACGACCAAAACGGAGCCAAAAGCAACAAGCGTGGACAGCATTAGCGAGGGACTATCGGAGTTGCGCGTGAAAAGGACGTGAAAATGGGCAAGGAAGAGCATGACAATGGCATTACGGGGCGGAAAAAGAGGAGCACAAAGAAGGTCAACAAGACGCCGATGACAAGGAGACAACAGGGAGCCAAGGAGATGGCAAGGGCCTTCGACATAGCATCACATCATGGCATGGCCGGCATGGGTTTCTGGACGGGGCGATGGCTCCGATTGCTACGTGGTGCGTGTGTTTTTGCATAATGTACATATGTACAATGAATGGCAGCCACGGTAGTAATGGGATGCCAATGGGGGTCAATGGGGTTAATTGGGGTCAAATGGGGGCATTTCGTTATTTCGCGGGTGGTTGTTGGACGCAAAGCAGATTGGGAATTTTGGGAATGGAGAGCAAGTGGAGGAGCAGGGAATGCATCTAAGGAAACTGAGAACATCTACGAAGTAAGGTTATTGGACGCATGGCCTCGGAGACTAAGAAACACGTTGGCTGGTCTTGGCTCAGCGCGGCGTCTTTGAAAGGAAGCATAGACAAAACGCAGGGTCCAGACACGACACGAGGAGACTTTAGACAAAATTGAGAATTTGGCAAAACAAGCGAGCGTGCTGGCAACTTCTGACTACCTTACCAGACATTGGTGCAAGCGAGCGAGGTGAGTGAAGTTCTGCGGGAGATGACAAGGAACGTAGAGAGAAGAAAAAAACAAAACAAAAAAACAATGGAGGAAAGACTCCCGAGGCATAACAGATGGAGCCAAACATGAACAGAAAAAGTGATAGCAAGTGTGGGGCAGACACAACTCGCTGAAGATTGGAAGTGATCTGTCGACAACATAGCCTCTTTTTGAGGAGAAAAGAGGCAGAGGGCAACAGGACAGGGGAGAAGAGCTCGATTTTAGTCTAGTTTGCAAGGGAATGACGGATTCGACGGCATGGAAGGCATGGAAAGCATGGGTAGCTGGGCCAAAGGATTGCCAAAGGATAGACTGCATGGATTGGATTCTTTTCGGGCGATTACGACAGGGGAGACTGGCAGGAAAGACAGGGGTAGAGGCACGGCAGATGCATTTGAGCAGAGGCTGAGGTTCTGGACACTATGAGATACGGAGTCCTTCGTACGAATCGTACGAATGTACATTGCTTCGTCATGAGGACTCCGTAAGAAGCAGCACGAGAGGAGACCGGAAGCGAGGAGAATTAAAATGAAGAGCTGACCAGCTAGCTGTGCCCTCATCTAACACAAAGACTCCACCCAGCGATAATGACAAAAACATGCACGCGGTCGGCACGAGTGTGGAGAGGAGTGGAGAAGCGATATTGAGCAGATTCAAGCCAAAAGAGTGAAAGTAGGCCCAAGATAGACCGAAAATGAACCAAATGTAGACCAAAAGGCCATAAATGAAGGCACGAGAGAGAAAGAGGAAAAGCGTGGATTGAGAAAGGGCCTAAAAGAGTGAGATGGCTTCGACATTGCCACGAGGCAAAGCGACAGGGGGAGAAACCCGTGCCCAAGTGGGCGGGCCAGACAAAAAAGATATACATGTACGAAATAGATGGAAGGTGTGGGAGGGGGAAAGGAAGAGAATAAACAGGAAGACGGGATCGGTGGATATACGCAGTACGACGGAAGATACGATGGACTTGTAAGGAAGCTTCAGTTTGCTGTTTAGACGAGAAGATCCGTGATATTTGGATTTGCAGAAGCAAAGGGTTTGCCTTGTACAAAGCATTACTCCGATAATGTGAAGGCAGTGGAGGATTCAGCAGTCTCTGTCTTCCCATCGGCAATCGAGGCAGGTCGAGGAGGTGTGGGGCAGCGCAAAAAGAACGACGGAAGAACAAAAATAAAGAAAACCGAGCTCTCGTCAGAGGGCTAAGGCGGCTAAAAACCGACGAAAGACGAAGAGTACAGAGAACTACGGAAGAAACGAATGCACTAAACCAGTCACCAGAAGAGGAGGGCCAGAACCAGGAAAATGGAAAGGAAACGGGAACACGGCACCAACCGTCGAGAAGGGGACAAACGAGCACAGGCAAAGTCGTGTTCGCTGAACGGGGAAAGTAAAGTAACGTCGTAAACACGTGCAAGCTATTTTTACTCTGGACTTTGCATGGCTTTACTGCATGCGTGCTTTGACATCTGCATAACGGAGGATTATGGAGTGCCACGGCATAATTGCCATGCGAGCCAACGACTGTGCACACTTGGTACGCCAGCTGTGGTCGACTACGGAGGATTTCTGCTTTCTTTTCTTCCATTCTGCTTCTTTTCGTGCTTCTGTCATACTTTTCTTCTTTCCCTCCGTGCTACGATTTACATTTGGCGCACTTTGCGCATCTGACCGCAGACCACAGACCACAGACCACAGACACAATCGCGACGGGACGCTGTGCGGGTGCATCCACCCTCCACGACTGTCTCCCGGTGCTCGGACGGCCAAGAGACGTACATGTAGTCGACTTGTACGGAGACGGCACGCCACAAAGTTGCACCATGCGACATTTTCAGCCAACAGCTGCACAGCCAATAGCAATCCGCATGGCTGCACATCTGCAAATCTGTAGATCTCCATTGCAACGGTGCGGAAGAGAAGGCGAGGTGTGGAAGTGGGATCGTAAAAAAGAAAGAAGAGGTGACAGAAAAAGCAAATTCGACGGCGATTGTGGCTGGGGAAAGAAGTGTGATGGGAGACACAATGGGAGCGGGAGCGGAGATGGGGGCCAAAAGTGACAGACAGAATCATGACAGCACGGAATGTGCAGCAAATAGTCCTCCGTACTTCGTACATGTACTCCGCCTCAAGACGATGCAACGACAAAAACCACGCATAAACAACAACGATAGAATGGTGGATGGGGGAGAAGTGGCTTTTATGGTTAGGCGAAAAAAGAAAATGGGCGAGAAGGGAAACGACAGACAAGGCATGACAAGGCACGACGCGAATCAAGACTCTCCCCGAGTATACTTCGTACCAACCCTTACAATATCCCACCGACGAGCCCGAGTCCAGTCTCATCGTGGATTCCTGCCCTTTTCATTTCCGCCGTTGTCGTGGCCTCCCCTTTTTTAATAAATAACAAAATATGCTAATATAGCCAACAGGAGAAAACCCGTGTTTCGTAGCTGTCGGCCTCGGGCACCGGGACATTGTGACGAGGCCGGCGACGACGACGCACTGTAGCTGATTCCAAAGCTAGCTCGTTTTGGCGGATAGCCCCGTCAAAGAGAGGAGGCGTCCGGAGCGCCAAACGAGGAGGGCAAGCGAACAATGCGACACGATGCAACACAATGCTACACAATGCAGGGGCAGGCAATGACAAAGAGGGGGAGGACCAGGGTCCAGTCCATCAACACTAGACAAGGCCGTGCAGTAGCGTCGACAGCCTTGTCCTGTTCGAGTGCCTGGCGTCGTCTTGGATACCTCGATCGCTTGTCGAGTCTCTGGCCCAGACTCGGTCTAGTTGGGTCCAGCCTCAACCCCGGACCCTTGCGGTCTGCTTGTGCCTTTTGCGAATGGGCGCAGAACGCACCTGTTGTTGGACAAGCGCCTCTGTCGTGCTGTTGTCGGGGCTACTCCGGAGACGCTGGATCTGTCTTGTCGTCTCGCTGCTTGTGAACTTTTCCACTTTTTCTGTCTTCTACGACGTAGAAATATCAAAGAGATGGCACTTAGCCAAGTAGAAAAGTGTAAATTAAAATATAAAAATGTATTTGACAAAAAAAGGAAAGGAAAAAAAGAGATTATGAAAAGAGAAGCAAGGAATAGGGAGATCATGGCAGAACGGCGCAACGTAGAAAGGTACTGAGTCGAGAATTCGTATGACAATCTCACGTCCGCGCCTGTCCTTTTCCCCTCTGCGACCTGTCGACCTCTTTCTCATGGTCTCTCAATACGAAGTATTACTTCGTAGTACACCCTTTGCAGGGTCATGCTAATCGGCCCCTGAGCGGATAATTCCAGGCCACGGTAGTCTAGCCTTGTGGAAGGGCCTACTAAACTCGACGGCATCCACCGCAAACAAACCAACTCCCGGCAATGTTCACTCTTTCTTTCATTGTTCTCGTGGGCTGTCTTTTCTTTCTCTCCATGGTTTCTCCACCTCTTCTGAAATGTCGCAGTGGATCGAGACGGCCAACTACAAGGTCCAGGAAATGATCGGCAATGGAACGGCAAAACAACGGCAAGAAGAGGTCTTTGATCGTGGAATTGAACGTCGTGCGGCATAACACTCGTCAAAAATCCCAAGCACGATGCAAGCCAGCTGAATTGGCAATTATAGTAGCTTACTTAGCAACTAGCCAATGTTTCCACGATGGGAACGTGAGAAAATAACACTCAACAGCCAGCCCCGTAGGGATTAACAAACTCACAGCAGAGACACAGGAGAGACAGGAACTGCCAGATAGTGCAAAATAGACTTGCTGCATGGTGTCCGTTTGTGTTGCTATCAC